TCCTCCTGCACTTCCCAGAGAAGAGGGAGATCAGGCATAGGTAAACTCGGCCCTCCAGATGTTTTGGGACTACAACTCCCATGATCCCTAGCTAGCAGGACAAGTGGTCAGGGATGATGGGAAGTGTAGTCCCTAAACATCTGGAGGTCCGAGTTTGCCTATGCCTGGCATAGATTTACAACAGTGGTTTGCAGAAGGTCACAGTTCAGAGGCTACAGAGGGGAGAAGCTGGGAAATATTGAGAGAGGAGCAGGAGGAAGAGAAAGCACCAGGGGAGAGACAGCTGACAGGCTCAATGTCATTGGAAAGCATGCCAGACCTCCCTGTCTCCCAGGCAGTGGCAGAGCAAGCCAATCGGGCGCCTGGGGTGGGGCGAGCTGCCTGCGGGGGCAGGACAAGCCAGGGCAGGATGCTCTGCAGGGCCTCTGAGGAGTCTGCCTGCCTCTTTCCACTCAGCCGCCCTATAGCTTAGGGGGAGGTGGCGAGCAGACCGTTTGGGGCAGCGCAGAGCCTGCGGGCGCCCAAGCCACCACATCACTCCCAGGAGTGCCGCCCACCATTTTGTCACCCCCCTCAGTGGTGGCACCCGGGGAGGGCTGCCCCCACCACCCCCTTCTTCCGCCCCTGCTCCCAGGTCCTGGCGTGCATTGAGAGTAGGAGAAGAGGAAGCTCAGAGGCAGAAAGCACAGATCAGCCAATGTAGGGATTGTTATGTACTGAAGTTCTCACCCTGGGCCAGCAGGGGGATACTGTAGATAGTTATGCAAATGAAGGATCGAAAGTGACGTTCAGTGATTGGATAGTTTGTATGCAAATGAAGGATCGAAAGTGACGTTCAGTGATTGGATAGTTTTAGAAAGTTGCTACAGTAACTGTTGTACTGGAGCTCTATATAAGCAGGCTGACTGAGCCCTTCAGTTCAGTTCTGTTCTGGCCTCTGAATAAAGAAGAGCTGTTTGAAGAATCGCTGTGTCGTCTCATATGTTGACCCACAACTTAACAGGGATAACATATAATAGGAGAGACGGAGGGGGTGGGACTTTACTCGGAGCAATGCCATTATCTGAGAGACGGCATTTCTACATCTCTCTCTCTCTCTGAGTATTGAATAAAATATCTTGGTAAGAGCTTCTTGTCAATTACTGGCAGTATGCCGTGAGGGAGGGGAATCAGATTCCCTGAAGCCTGACAAGAATAATGCTTCCGTATTTGAGGTGCTACGCCTCTGAATACCACTTGTCAAGAATCGCAAGTGGGAAGAGGGCCATTGTGCTCATTTTCAGCTCCGTCTCCTGCCTGCAAAAAATGCCTTGCAGATGACCGTAGCACCTGGAGACAGACTGGTAGTGTAACCACAGCAGTGGCCAGAGGAGAAATGGCTGCTGGCAGGAGTGCAGAGAGAAGAAACACCATACTATACCTGAATCAGCACAAACAGACCCCTTCATCTGCCCCAACTTCATCTGCAACAAAACCTGTCTCTCCCGTATCGGTCTCTACAGCCTTGGCAGGTGCTGTAATTCTCCAACGGCTTGACTTCACCCCCGGAGGCGCACTCTTCCATGGTCTCCCAAGACAGACGGATGCCAACCAATCCCACCCTGCCTTCAGCATGCCCCATTTCAAGGCCTTCCCTCAGGGTCCCCTGACAGGGATACTGCTGGCAAGCCTCCGGACCACCTGTTTGGTGAGTGCATGGGGGAGGTCTGTACTGACAGGAGGCTGGCTGAGCCAGCAGAAGTGAGCAGAGAGTTGCCTCTGCTCAATGGAAACCCTACACAGCTTGGCATAACGGGGATCTGGAATGCAGAGTGAATAAATTTTAGTAACATAAACATTATAAAAAGTCAAAATGATGAAACGGGGGCGGGAGACGACTTTTGGTTAAGCTCTCTTGTTCCATGTGGGCCTGATCCAGTAAAGAAATGTATAAATACTTCTAACAGTGTTTTTCTTGCATTAGTGCTACTAAATGTTACATGTTCTGCGGCCCACATAAAACTCTACCATGACCTACAGTAATGGTTCTTAAATTATTTATGCTTTCTTACACAAATGAGTGCAAATTAATTTTATCAGAAAAGACTGTGAAATGTGCTCGAGGCATCTGGCTTCTGTTTGCTTCAGGATTCCTGCTTTGATGAGACCGCTCTTACTTTAGTTTCCAGGTCAGGAATTCTGCTAGTGTACATTATAATCAACTAAGGAACTTCCAACTTTTCTTTTTTCTTTTTTTGCTGAAGTCAGGGCTGGTTTAACATGGTTTTATTTTTTTTATTTTTTTTAACCACCATAGGCTGTGGGTCTCCCTACAAACTGAGTGGGTGCCCCAGATTTCTCTTATGTCTAGGATATTGCAGAAAACTCTGGGGTAAATTCTGAGTTTACATTGGAAGCAGTGCAAAAACCCAGATTCATGCATGTATCGGGGCTCTCCATGTAAATGAAGAGTGCCCTGCAGAATCTTCAGTTATATTTACTTATGTGATTTATAATCATTAAAATCAATCCCAGAGCTGGAGCTACAACATAAAAACATAGGATGCATAAGGAAATACAACAAGCAAATAGTAAGAGAACCCATATAAGTGATGCTGACACAAAAACCCACACATATACTAAGTAGAAGAATAGAAGCATAACCACCCAACCCCACCCCACTCACCATCCCCCCTTTCCCCTCTTCCCCCCTTTTCTTCCTAACCTAATACTGCGTGCAACACTAATGTCTCACAGCAAATGAAACTGATCTGTATAAAACACAACTTGAAAAAAGAAGAGTTTGCTGCAATTCATTGGAAGCAGTGGAAGCTGCATCGGACGTTCGGCTTCCAAAAAACGTTCGCAAACTGGAACACTCACTTCCGGGTTTGTGGCGTTTGGGAGCCAAAACATTTGAGTCACAAGGCATTTGAGAACCAAGGTACGACTGCAATTAAATTTTAGGAATGATTCCTGTTCTTAAGTAGCTGCATTGTTTTATACTTTTTGGATGTCACATGATCATATTATAAAGCGGTTGTGTTCTATGTTATATAATTCAGGCACTGCTAGGAGTTGTTTCTTTTTGTTTTCCTCTTTAAAAATAAGATTTTATTAAAGCTTTTTCAGAATACAAGAAGCAGCCAATCTAAATAACAAAAAAAAAGAGAAATAAAAAGAAAACACAGAATTCAATTCTAGAAAGCAATTCTAGATTTAATTTCCCTGTTTGTCTATTGGTAAGTACAATTTAATTAAGAATAGTTTCTACCCGTCCTCCAGTGCTGCACAAGAAAAGTTCCACTAATGTGAACTGAGCTTGCATTGATGCCCACTTGAGGACTGCAGTCTTTTTCTGCTTTGCCAAGAAAAACAATTCTTACATTAGGTTTGAAAAGCTATTGCAATCTTAACCACAAGAAGGCAGTGCTGCTTATTTTTTTAGTTATTAAAGTACAGTATTTTGCTAGACTAGAGGAATTGGAGAAACAGATTGCTGATCATTGCTGTGTAGGGATACTTTGGAAGTTACCACATCCTCAAAGAATTTCCTTCTTTAGTTAAATGCCTGTTTTAGATTAGTGGTTTTGTAATTCTAGTTAATGATACCAACTTCATATTATGTTTTTGGTGTACATGTATTCTGCATAATAAAATAACCCATAAAGGAGGAAATCACATATTTTGAAAGATCGATTCAATAGCATACATGAGCAAGAGATTGATGGTGTTCCTCTTTATTTGTATACATCTCTTTAAAAAACCCAGCACATATATTTTGTTTCCCATGAATCAGCCTGAAGATTCCATGCATTTAAGAGACTGTTCTTGTAAAGATAACCCTTGTGCATAGGGATTTAAATTGTATTCCAACGTGTATCACATGCTGCCTGAAAACAAGGAACTAAGGCACCAATTATCTTGTGGCAGTGAGGGAGAAACTTTTGGAATAACATTGGAACACCAACTCCACTCAAGGCATGACGGACAGTAGCAACAACCAAGATAGACATAATATTTTACAAGGACAGGAAGAAACAAGATGGACAGAATAAATGTCATACACAGGAAGAACAAGGATACAGTATGAGGTCTTCTCTCGCCAACTTATAAATCATTAAATGCGTCAATACGAGTAAAAGTTATAAATATTGCAGCTGTTGTATAAGGGATTACTATTGTGACTGGAATGTAATTGAAATAAGATTTTGGACTGCAGAAATAAAGAAAACCATCAAACCATCAATTCTAGCACTTGGAGTGCCACCTAAATTATGTAATTTGGTATTTGAATGATTGACATTGGGAATTGTATTGTCCTTTGGCATTGATATAATGAGGCTAGTATTGGATTATTGTAATTGAAAACTAATAAAAATCATTATCACAATTATTCTCGTGGCAGTAGAGGTAAGAGAGCCGCAGTCCTTTGAGCTTTCCTAGCAGGTGCCACACGGCCTTGCCGAATGAAATATAGAATTATAGACCAACCATTGGACATACTTTCCCGTAATGAGCCAATGGCAAACAAAGAAGCGTTGTTCCTGTGAGCCGTCCAAATAGAACGCGTCTCCCCTCCCCGTCTCCTTCCCTCTATTTCATTTTCTGAGCCACGCGCTTTTATTCGCAGCCCAATGAAAGCTCCAGTACGTACTCTATCTGAGAAGTGCTGAAGGAAAGGATAATTTAGCCAAGATGCAATCTTAGTTCCTTGCGCGGAGAAGGCGAAATTCCAGCCAATAGGGGAAGCCACCGTCGGCGCGGAACGGACCAATGGGAAGGGCAACTTTGGAGCGCGTGCGGGTGGGGGGGGAGTGCGAGTAAGAGTCTATTGGGCGGGGACTGTACGCGGCTGAGTGGGCTGCGGCTAAGCAGGGGGCGGGGGCTGGGCAGCCGCTCTTCAATCAGGTAAAGGGAGGAGCTTGAAGGACTGCTGCAACCGCGAACGGGGATGGAGATCTGAACGACGAGTAGGCGGGCCTTAGAGGCCGCCCCTCCCCCTCCTCTCCCGGCTTGCCGGTCAGTCAGGTGCCTCAGGATGCGCGGTTGGTGCTTCAGCCTGTGGTGGAGCCGACGACGGCTGAGAGAGACGCGGCTCTGGCGGGGAGGCCGGGTGTCGCCGCCGCCGCCGCCTCGTCACCGCGGGCTGAAGAGGCGCTTCTTCTCCGCTCCGGGCCCAGGCGCCCCCTCAGGGTCGTACCTGCCGCCGGCAGCCGCATGAGCTCTCGGCAGCTCCTCCCGCGGGCAGCGCCTCCCCCCTTATGGAGGAGCCGCTCCCTCGTCGCCCTCCTCCTCCTCCTCCTCTCCCCGCATGGAGCCTTTCGCAGCCCGCAGCCCGCGCCGCCCCGCTCACCCGCCGCTGCCGGCGGACGGCGCGGACGGCGAAGAGGATGAGGGCGCGGCGGCGGCGGCCACGGCCAGCTGGAGGACGGCGGCGTCGGGAGCGGCCTCGTGCGATGGCGGCGGCGGCGGCCTGCTGTGGACGGCCGTGTTCGAGTACGAGGCGTGCGGCGAGGACGAGCTGAGCCTCCGCCCGGGCGACGTGGTGCAGGTGCTCTCGCAGGACTCGCAGGTGTCCGGAGACGAAGGCTGGTGGACCGGCCAGCTCGACCAGCGCGTCGGCATCTTCCCCAGCAACTACGTGACCAGCAGCTGCAGCAGCAGCAGCCGCCTCTGCCTCCGCCAGGGGGGCGCCGCCGAGCTCCAGTCCCGCTACTCGCAGACGCCCGCCATACAGTGTAGGAGAGGGAAGGCGGGAGGAGAAGAGGAGGGCATGGCGGGGGTGGGGAGGGGGAGAAGCCAACAGTGCTTATCCCTTAATTCCTTTAGGCCCCTGTTTCCTGGGAGAGGCTGGACTCCCAGCTCCAGGGGCTCCCTGCTGCAGACGACCCTTCAGCGTTAGAGGACGAGGTGGCTTGAGTTTTCGACCTGTGCCATCTGTATAAGCTGCATGTTGGCTAATCAAATGTGATTTTTAGCTCATTTTGATCGATTGTGGGATCTTTACCTAGAGGTGGCAGTTTTCCCTGTACCTACTTTTTTACCTCTCCCTGTTTAACGAAACTGCAAGGATGCGAACTTGCCCATATACCTTGCTGCTTCGAGAGGTAGGGAGGGAAGGGGCGTGGCACTGGGCGCTGGGTTATATTTATCCTGCCGCTGCTTTTTCTGTCTCAGCTTTGCTCTCAACACCAGTGAAGAGCTCTTCTGTTCCGCCCCTTCTCATCTGGGTTTCCTAATAAGCTAATTAAACGCCAGGCTGCTTCAGGTCAGATGAATGTTATTCAGTCTGATGGTATTTTCACTGTAACTACCTGGTGATAGACCCAGGACAGCTTTCAGTACTGTCATCTGTTACTGAATGAGTGTATACGTGTGCTTACCTTATAGTTCATGAAAACAAAAGTTGTCCTTCCTCTCAGTAGAGATGAAAACTATAGAATATAGCTGCATTTTCCATCTGTCCAGCTGACTATTCTTCTTCATTGTCAGACATCTTGTTATGTCCAGGGTGTGTTTCTCCATTTTCAAATCCATCCCAGTGTGATTCATTCTCCACATTCTACTCTTACTTTTGCTAACTGCATATTTTTAAAGTAACTTGTTCTGAAGGAGTTAAGAAATGCATAGCCTAAAGTTCAGTGCTAGGTGAAGGCAGAGAAAACACATTTTGAGAGTTTATGAGGAAGATACATTACTTCTTACAATAAAGCTGCAAAGAGACTGCAACTTCCTGTATCTTTGGGTATGTCCTGTCTTGTAGGCCTTCCTTTTTTCTCACCCCTACACATGGATATACTTCTAAATCTAACCCATTGCTCACAGTTCTTCTGTATCAGCTGCCTTCGAGTGGGCTTGTTCTGAGGATGTCTTCCTTCTGTCAATGTTGGTGTTGCACTGCTCTCCTTGAATGCAAGCAGATGCAAAGGAACTGAAGCACAAACTTATGCAGGATTGTGACTTTTATTCTATTGTATGAAATTATATTTGAAATATTAATATTTCATTATAAATATATTGTGAGCAAGGGATTGTAAAACTTTGTATCTTCCTTTTGGGGTTTAATCTATAAATTATTCATGGCCAGGGATTGGTGTTTCTTTCTAGGAGGTAGGAAAGGAATAGGACAAATTATCAGGAAACCAGGCAATTAGCAGCAGCATAGTTCCTGTAACTGCTATCACAAACTGCATATGAGACTTTTTCTGTCTTAGAAGGCCAGTAGATGTTAGAGAGGGAAAACATATAAAACAGCCTTACCTAATGGTTCAGAGGCCCATCTCTCTTGACTTGTACATGCAATCTGCTCAGTGCTCACCTGTTAAAAGTTGACCTGGTTATATACCTTGGTCTTTACTTTAGAGACAAGGACTTGGATTGGTTTGCCATTTGAGTACTTGTTTGCAAGTAACTGTGAAAGGCAAGTTATAAGGGCATAGTGTCTCTTAAACATTACATTCTTACTGACTTAATATGTATTTAAACTTTTTTTTTTATACATGCTATTTTGCAAAGTAACTGAGATGGTGTGTGCTAGGCTTTTTGTACCTACATTCCCCCCGCAAAAAAGCAGCATGTTTTATTTTCAGACTCTATTTGCATTTGAGGCAGGGTAAATCATGCATTAGTAGTTAGAGGGCACTTCAGAACACAAAAACAGCAAGGTTACATTAGAACGTTAAGAATACTGGCTGCCGTGTTAACAACCATTTGTAGCATTAAAGGAGCTGTCCCTTCAGCACTGTTTGGTTTAGATCCTCAGTTTCCCTCTAAGAATGCTCAAGAGATGTTTAGTGTGCATCTTACAGCAGACATTCCACTCCCAGGGCCCAAATTATGGAGGCCCGCCAGTCCCAAAATAGGGGTACAGGGGCGGAGCCAATAAGAAAGTGGAGGTGGAGATTGTCAGCTGATCATGTCAATCACTGATACCATTTTCTATTAATGCCTCATTTCTCTTTGGAAATTGCTAAATTCTTTACTACAGCAGTTTCCTTGCTATAGGGAGTTCCATAGTTCAGCTTTCCTCAAGCTAAGCACAGGCTTTGGCTCTGGAGGTATCATGACTCACTCTTCCCCTTTTAGCCAGAAGTTGCTGATCCAGAAGTTTCAAGTAGTGAATAATTCATCTATTCCCCCGCCCTCTGTATATCTCTAAAAACATTTTATTTCTTCCATATTTTCCTTTCAAACTTGTATCCTGTACCCACTTCCAAATTGCCAATTTCTTTCAGCCTTCCTCCTCTTTTCAATACTTTCTCCTATGACATCTTTCCTCTCATTCCCTTCCTCTCTATTTCACAGATTACTACACTACTACTTTTATAGCTGATGCTGCTAGCATCTGCACGGCCAAATGGCTCAAACTCCCAAGACAGTAGAAAAGACTACTGCATGATGGGGGTAGGTCGTACTGCTGAGGGCCAGTAGTGGTCCTTGGCCTACAGTTTGAGAAATTCTCCCATGGTATGTCACATCAAAGTATTACTCAAAGTAATAGAGCTTCTCACTACTCCTGAAATAGCTCACCAAAGGACTTAATGTAATTTCAAGCACTTTTAAGTAGGGAATTCAGAACTGTATTTCCTGCTGTCTGTCAGGCATTATGACACACTTCGACTTCCTTTTCCCTAAGTGAAGAAAGTATGCGAGTTGGCAATAATGTTTCCTGGTACTGGCATGCAGATTTCCTGTTTTTCTCTCAACATAAATTTCCTGAGTGGCTTTGTATTTTAAGTTTCAGAACTCATTTAGTGAGTCTTTAGTAGTGATGACTCCTAGTCAGATGGGCTACAATAGGTTTCATGTAATTGACCAACCATCAAAAGAGATGCGTGCTAGTCCTGTGTAGTCTGAGTGCTATAGCCTTAAGGCCTGTGTTCTGTCCTCCACATCTTACAGGGTGGAGGTAGATGTAGACTTCAGCATGTGGATAGATTCATGCAAGGGGAGTTGATCCTTCAAGCATAAAGGCCCCAAACTATTAAAACATTAGAGGTAGTCTGAATTGTGGCCAGAAACAAATTGGGAATTAATGCAGTTGATACAACACTGGTGTAATAGTACCAGGCTCCAAGGGCAGCACTTCATAAAATTCATTGCAGTAGTCTAACCTGAAAATAACCAGCCTTGAAACTCAGGTGGGAGGCGAGTTAAAATATAAACAAATTGCTCATAATACTGCTGCCTTTTCTGGGGAGGTCTTACCATACTGGTCATAGTTTTATTGCAGTATATGTACTATATCATGTTGCAACCTTAAAGTGCCATTAAATATGAGTACTGATTCCAATAGGTTACGTGTGGCACTTGCCCAGTTAATGAAAATGTAAAATGTTCTGTTTATTTGGCACACTTGAATTAGGCTGCTGGCAGCTAAACATTTTTATAGCCGATGCTTCTCATATGAAAAGAGTAGTACAAGGTAAACTAAAGTAGTAAAGAATAGTAAAGGGAGATGTCTGCCTTTACAAAAAACGTCATTGCTATAACAATTGTTTATATTGATGGAAATAACTACATGTTAAGCACAAGCAAAGAAAAGTTGAAATACATTTTGTTTTCTTTTATATATTTGTAGCTACCTGTGAAACGTGTGTATCTTTTTAGCAATGAAACATTGTATTTTTGCTGAATATATCCAACTTTATAATTCAAGCCACCAATAAAACTTTATTATAAAATGACCTAAAATAGGTATATAGAATTGTTGCTTACAGCAAAATTGCGTAGGGCATTTTAATGATACTACCTTGGCACAATTTTTCCAGACAAGTTCTGATAGCCATAAGAGCTTAAGAATTTGTTGACACACGCCTAAACTGTTACATTTAAATGGCAGAATAATATTATTTAAGGCAAGGAATAATGCTGAAGCTATCTACTGACAATATTTAATCTTGTAAAATAACTTATATTTCTTTGTTTCTCCATTTATAGTACGGGAGATTGACTTCTCTGAGCTGGTTCTGGAGGAAATCATTGGAATTGGAGGCTTTGGGAAGGTCTATCGTGCAATTTGGCTTGGAGAAGAAGTTGCCGTCAAGGCAGCTCGGTATGATCCAGATGAAGACATCAGTGAGGCTATTGAGAATGTGCATCAAGAAGCCAAGCTCTTTGCCATGCTAAAACACCCCAACATAATTGCACTTAAAGGCGTATGTCTAAAGGAACCTAACCTTTGCTTAATCATGGAGTTTGCCCGTGGAGGGTCACTGAATAGGGTGCTGTCTGGTAAAAGAATCCCACCAGACATACTAGTGAATTGGGCTGTCCAGATTGCTGGAGGAATGAACTATCTGCATGATGAAGCAATTGTTCCTATTATACACCGGGATCTGAAGTCCAGCAACAGTAAGTGGGGAGTATAGCGGGTGTGATGTTGGGACTTACAGAGAAGTGGACAGCATAGATAAAATGTTAGCAACTTGAAATATATTCCAGCCACATAAACTTGAGGACAAAATTGATGAGTAGGCTAGAATGAAAGGCAGGGGCATGAAAGTTTCCCATGAGACTTACTCTTAAGAGAGCCAGTGGTGTAGTGGCTAGACAGATGGATTGGGGAGGCCCAGATTCAAATCCCCATTCAACCCTTAATCCTACTGTATGGTATTGGACCAGTCATTGTGTCGTGGCCTGAACTGCCTCACAGAGGAGTTAAATTAAAGCACAGAGAACTATGTATGCCAGACTATGCAAGCTAATTGGAGCAATGGTGGGATATAATAAACAAATAAGGAACTGCTAATGAACAAAAAGAGAATGGCAAGAAAACAGTGTGGGGTAGTGGTTAGGAGCGGTGGACTCGTAATCTGGTGAACCCGGTTCGCTTCCCTGCTCCTCCACATGCAGCTGCTGGGTGACCTTGGGCCAGTCACACTTCTTTGAAGTCTCTCAGCCCCACTCACCTCACAGAGTGTTTGTTGTGGGGGAGGAAGGGAAAGGAGAATGTTAGCCGCTTTGAGACTCCTTCGGGATAAAGCGGGATATCAAATCCAAGCTCCTCCTCTTCTTCTTCTTCTTTAGAGGAAGGATGGGGAACCTTTCTGATTAGGAGGGTTGTCTCCCCAGAGGAGAACTCTTGGGAGTTATAACGGATGGGGTTGGAGTCAGCAATTGGCGAGGTCATAGGTAAAGTGGGTTTGGCCAGAACTGGTGATGAGCCATGTATTTTTTGTCTTTCTCTTCTTCCCTTTCTCCTCTTATCTAGCAGCTGAAAATCCTCATTCACTGTAACTAGGCTTAGATAAAATACTTTGCCACTCATGTGAAGGTTAACTTAAGCCCAACTGCTGATTGGGGCTAGGGAAGGGAGCTGAGATGGGGAGGCTATAGGATAATTCCTAAGGTATTTCATGACACAGTGCATGCCAGTGTGGTGTAGTGGTTATGAGCGGTAGTCTCATAATCTGGGGAACGGGGTTAACATCTCCGCTCCTCCACATTCAGCTGCTGGGTGACCTTGGGTCAGTCACACTTCCCTGAAGTCTGCCAGCCCCACTCACCTCACAGAGTGTTTGTTGTGGGGGAGGAAGGGAAAGGAGAATGTTAGCCGCTTTGAGACTCCTTTGGGTAGTGATAAAGCGGGATATCAAATCCAAACTCCTCCTCCTCTTCTTCTTCTTCTTCTTCTGATAACACCAAGGTTGCGGGTACGATTCCCATATGGGACACCTGCATATTTCTACATTGCAGAGGGTCGGTTTAGATGTTCTGCAGGGTCCCATCCAACTCTACAGTTCTATGATTCTAAGACGCTTCTGGCTTAATGGTTCCTTTTCCCTGGTTTAGAGAACACCCTTCTCCTAGAAGTTTATTTTTTGTATTGAAGATTTTACCAACACAATTGTGAATTCCTTTCTCGCTCTTTCTTTTAAGGCACTGTTGCCAGTTGTCATCTCTGGTATGTTAAGAGAAACTTGTGACACTTAGAACAGAGTTGTGAAGGTGATGGAAGGTTAATTGCCCTTGCTTGTTTGGATGTCAAAAATGGTAGTGGCAAGAACATTGTGATGTAGATTGATTTCCCCCTCTTCTGTCTTTTCTCCTTCTGCCCCGTTTCTATGAGCATGAAGCATATCAGCAGTCTGGGAGTCCAGACTTCAAGACTTCTATTACCTATGAAGTCTTTGAACCTTGAAGACAGTTCTGTAATTTACCACTTTTCTCGTCACTTGGATCAAGAAAGAATGACTTCCCTTACTTTGACAACACAGTCATATATGCAGTTTTCTGTAACACTGGGCTGCCGTATGAAAGCTGCAAGAACAGTGGTACCTCGGGTTACAGATGCTTCAGGTTACAGACTCCGCTAACCCAGAAATAGTACCTCGGGTTAAGAACTTTGCTTCAGGATGACAAACAGAAATCGTGCGGTGGCAGCAGCGGGAGGCCCCATTAGCTAAAGTGGTACCTCACATTAAGAACAGTTTCAGGTTAAGAATGGACCTCCGGAACAAATTAAGTTCTTAACCAGAGGTACCACTATACTGGTCTACTTCTGCTGCCAGTCTAGCCCATAGGATATTTCCAGAAGGTGGAGTGAGACTGGCAACAGTAGAATGGTTGGGCAGCAACTCTGGGTAGTTACTTAAGCCTTTTCTCTCATATCTGAATAAATCTGATTTGTAAAAAGCATCTGAGCAAATTACTCTTAAAATAAATGATGTAGAAAGGAGATTAATGTTATCTATATTATGGACCTGAATTATGTATAGACTAAAAGTATAACATTTGAAGCAGTTCCACATGTTTTGTTAAGTAACGGTTTTACAGGAGAGTTACTCTGATTAAATTCTCTATCTTAGAACTTCATGCATACTCTATCTGGGTAATTTTCAATATGGGTCAGTATAGCAGCATTAATAAGTAACTGTTCCTTCCACATTAGAAAGATGGAATCAAGCATGTGGATGAGAGGGAATGTGTAACATTGAGAGTATGACACAAATTGGGATAGCCTTGTGAGACTCTTGGTGAGCAGGTATCCTAGATGTGGAGGAGAAAGCAAACAAACTTAATTTTTTCCTCCTCTTTGGTATAGTATATCTAGGATGATAAAATTGATTTTGTTAGAACCCTCCTGTCATTTGTGTGTGCAACACCAGCTTCTCACTTAAATTTGTGAGGAGTTCTATTAAACTGGTTAGAAGTGAAGTTTGTTAACTGTGGAGAAAATAGACACTGTTGGCAGCTGATGTGTAACTAATTAAAAATAAACCTCTTAGCAAAGCTCCTCTCTGTCAGTTTCCAATACAATTAGCAGGATGCTAGCTGTCAATGTGTGTTAAATCTCTTTGACCTTGGAAATAATTTTGTCTTAGAACCATTTAGGTATTTGTTGTTCCTTGTATTAAGGAGATATCTACATGAACTAGTTAGTTCAGTGCTCAGATAAGTGCTTTATAAGATGTGTTCACATTTTCACAACTTTGGATAAGAGATGTGACCAAAGAACCTTTTTTTTGTAAAACTAGTTAGTTAAATATCTGTGAAATTCAATATCAAACTACAAAACATGACCAAATAGGTTTTCTAGCAAAGTATAGTAGGGCTACAACAGTTGTGCTCAGTCGCATTATTTTTGCCATATTACATGAAGTGAATGTGACAAATTCCACTACAAGCAAGAAGCTGTGACATGTCCTTATCCATAGTGTGTAACAAAGTGGCCACAATTTTTTGTTTAAATCCAGTTTCTGTCCCTCATAGTTGCAAAGCAGACATCATACATTTTTTCAAAGTTCTCTGTCTTCGTTTTATTTTTCCACAGTACATGAATCTGGATGTAGGAGTAAAAGTATCTTAAGGGCAACACTTTAGGAAAAATAATATCATTAGCTTTTTCTGGCAACTGATGTGAATCTTGGAGTACCAGGTAATCTGGTTGGGAAGAAGTGTACAGGAAAAAGTTTAGGCACTTGTTTTTTTTTAAATGATATTTATTCCAAGTTTAAAATTACAAAAAGAGGAAAAAACAGTACAAAATACAAAGAAAAATTTAACCATAACAGAGCAAAAAGTAAAAAGAAAAAAGAGAACAATAAAATAGAATAAAAAAAGCAAAACAAAAGATATAAAAATGCATTGAATTAAAATAGAACAAAAACAGATTAAACCTTTACATAACTTTTTCCCTTTACTTATTTCCTTGACCTCCTCTCACCTCCCAATTTTGTATTCTAGTTCAGATCGTTTTTTCAGCAAATCCTTCCAACCTTGTTTTCATTTACGTATTTTAATTTAAAATATTATAATTAAACATCCTCTGTTTCATCAATTTCATCAGCTCATTTTTGCTTAATCCTTTATATCATATCTACCAAAACTGCCTAATTTTCTTTTTCCAACATCTGAAAAAGTTTAGGCACTTGTTTGCTACTTCTCACCTGCAAATAACTCTGTTTTGCTTTGCAATAACAAATTAGCTGCTGGGATTTTCATCCCAAATTTGTTTCTGAAGATGGGGTTCAGGCTCTTAAACAGCCACTTGTGTGGTCACCTGCAGTAGGTAAGGATTGTCATTAAGTTACAAAGGGGTTACACTAGGTAGGTAAGTGAGCAAGAGTTACTTCTGTGAACTCACTTGCAAAACTGGCATATTCCTGTTCTTAGTTCATAATTGGTTAAATGTGGGCTTTACTAATTTAGAACAAGTATGTCTCCAGTACTGTACAGTAGACCCACAACTTATGCAGGGGTTACGTTCTGGGGCTAGCACATAAAGTTAAAATTGCATATAGTCAAACACATTGGGTGCAGTGGTGGGTGGGATTGCCAAAGTCTTTTTTTCCTGGACGTCCATACCTTAAAAAAATATATTATTTTTTCCTAGGCGTGTAAAGCTGAATGCGCACAGGTTAAAAGAATGTAAGTTGTAGGTCTACTGTGTAAAGTGGCTGCCAAACTGGAATTTAGCCTATATATTAAGCATTATTTTCCTCTTTGAAGTGTCTGATTAATCTCCATAGGAGTAATCAGAAATTGTTCTACCAAAGTAATTCCATCTGTTTAAGAACAGGTGAATAGGAGCTCTAATTTCTTTGCATACTGCTTTGGGAAGACTCCTCAGCCTCTAATGCTTTCATATTGTTGCACAAAATCTTAATGTTTGAATTGCCATTTCTGAAATAGGATAGTTGAGGACCTTCTATACATGATAATTAGAGTGCATGTCTTTTTCTTTTTTTTTTATAAGATATTTATTAAAATTTTCAAGATATTACAAAACACAAAAAGAAAAAGAGAAGATACAAAGTAAAAATAGTTAAAAACAATTCATTCCTTCCGTTACTTGACCTTCATTTGCTTAGTTCCAGGACCTCCTCACACCTCCTTTTTTTGTATTCCAGTTTTATGATTAATGATTAGGATACATAAAGAGGGGAGGGATTTGCTGAACGAATAATCGAACTGGAGTGCATGTCTTTTAATATGTTGACAACTTTGTGTTTCATGGTAGCATATTGGCAGGCTGGTAGAGTAAGAATGTTGATGTAAAATTTTTAGGGCTACAGACTTAAGTATTGCAATAGAACAATTGTGAACTTCCTTAGTTGTAAAATGAAATGCATACCTGATAAGCACAGGTAGAATTTGACAAATTGGTAGCACCTGCCCTAAAACAGCTTAAGTATACAGTGGTGCCTCGCAAGACGAAATTAATCCGTTCCGCGAGTATCTTCGTCTACAGTATCTTGCCCACAGAAGCAACCCTATTAGCGGATTAGCGCTATTAGCGGTTTAGCGGCTATTAAAGGCTTAGCGGCTTAGCTGCTAAAAGGCTATTAAAGGCTTAGCGGCTTAGAAAAAGGGGGGGGAGCGGAAAAAAATCTCAAGACTCATTTTCGTCTTGCGAAGCAAGCCCATAGGGAAATTTGTCCTGCGAAGCGCATTGAAAAACGGAAAACCCTTTCGTCTAGCGGGTTTTCTGTCTTGCGAGGCATTCGTCTTGCGGGGCACCACTGTAACAGTGCTCAGTTCCTGTTATAGTTTTAGTTCCTCATATTCAAGAAATAATAATAATAATAATAATAATAATAATAAATTTATTTATACCCCGCCCTCCCCAGCCAGGGCTCGGCTCAGAGCTGCCAACACCAAATATGAATTACAATAAAACGTAATAGAAAACAACAAACAAACAAACAAACAAACAGTTAATTAAAATACTGCTTAAAATACAGCTTAAAACACAGCTTATAATGCAGACATGTACAAAGTCTGTTTGGCACCCTGCTTTACCAGTGAACTGGGGGCTATGAACCAGCCCAAAACTCAGCGAGGATGCAACCAAACAGAGTTTTCATTTTTAACCTACTTTGTGGCAATGATAGAGTTGAAAAATAGTTTTTCTCCACTACGTGCGTATTCTCAGAGCATTATCCATTGAAACTTTTCTCTGTGGTTTAACAGTCTCACAGATGGATTGTCAAGGTGAAAGAACCCTCAGAGGTATGCTGTGACATGTTTGCTAAAGATTTTGAGGATAAAATTACTCATATCCATTTTCTACTTGGTGACAGATAGTTCTGTAGCAAAGTTTAGGAAGGTGTCTGGAGCCCTACCTTGTATTATATTGAATGAATTTGGGGCCTAATTACCCAAGTTAAAATGATGCTAATTGTGTGAATTCATTAAACATATGCAGCATAAAAAATGTAAATAATAGCCATTGTGGGTAGCATAAGCAGCATCAGGAAGTGGGGAGTAAGAGCTTAATCATTGTAGAGGCAGCTTGATGTAGTGATCAGAATGTCATAGTAGACTAGGGAGATCCTGATTCAGTTTTCTACTCAGCCATGGAGATTACTGAATGGTAAATTAGGCTGAGAGATATGGACTAATTTCACGGGGTTTTAGGATGAAATTTGGGTGAGGTTGGATGTATGCTTTCTTGAGCTCTTTGAAGGAAAGGTGGGATATAAAACAATGAAATGAATCCTTTCCCCTACCTGTCCTAGTCCCAGCATTGTTTCTACCAGTAGTGATTTCGCCATTTTGAAAATATATATATTTTTCTATTTAAAGAAAGTGATTTTTATTGGTTCCACCCAGGAGGAAGGATTAAGCTATCCAGAGTCCTGATGCTTATCTTGAAGCCCTACATGGTTACAAGCATACCTAAAGAAATGCTTGCTTTCCATATATTGCCATTCTGCTGAAATAATAATCTGGCATCCTTCTCCAAGTGCCTCAGCCATCAAAACGGAGACAGAGGTGGCTTTCTACTCCATAATATTTTAGTTGGTCCTCCTATGATGATATTTTCTAACTGGCTCTGCTAGTTTTTCTAATAGCTTCATACCATTTTTACAGGAGTAAATATGCTTCATTGAAACTGCATTGAACTTGCTGCTACTCAGTATCCTCTGTCTGTCTTACTGCATGCATTCTGCTGACATCACTGCATGCAATTTACTATCTATCGCAATTCATTTTGGTGTTGTGTTTCAGCAATAGGAGAGGCAGATGAAAAATGGATAACTATCAAGCAGCACAGGCAGCTAAAGTGCAGTGAAATGCAAGTTGCCAAAGGCGTTCTTTTGCAGGATCACTGTGATCCCTCTTGGGTAAGATGCCTTTTAGATGGGAAGTTTGTAGATGGAGCTTTGGCTTTGAATCTGCTTTTGTTTAGCTGCATCTATCCAAAATATCTGCAGTCACATATCTGTCTCAGCGTGCAGTTACATTGGCATTTTGTTGGTGTAAATGGAAGCATTTCAGGTTAAAGAGAGCAGAATATCGCTTTATCTCAGCTTTTCACTCAAGTTAATTTTGAACAGGATCTTATGGAAAGGACTTTCATTAATGGGTATTCATTATTCCATAAGGTCCCATCATGTCCTCATTCCTCAATTTAAGAAGAATATGACAAGCTGGAATGTGTGCAGAAGGTAACCAAGTTATAAGTGTGTGGAAACCAAGGCTTATGAGGAACTGTTGAGGGAATTAGGTATGTTTAGCCTGATAAAGAGGAGATTGAGAGGAGATATAATGGCCATCTTCCATGTATGATCTAGTTGAGATTCCTGAATTGCAGGGGGTTAGACTAGATAACTCTCGGCATCCCTTCCAACTCTACAATTCTAAGTGTGGTCCTAGTGGATTAGATCAGTTGTCTTCAACCATTTTAGGTTCTAAACCAAGGGTCACCAATCCAGTGCCTGTGGGCACCATGGTGCCCATGAAGGCTTCTGTTGGCACTCTGGGCAGGTGTTCCAGTCTCTCAGCTTTTCTTTTTGTGTGGCGTGTGTTTGTTTGTTTTGTGTATGTTTGCGTATGTTTGCATATGAAAGTGAGAGAGCGCGTAAGCTTATGCTTTCCATGGGAAGTCAGCTATTGGGGTTGTTGTCTCTCTAATTCGTGTTATGCCATGCTGCCATGGGAGCCATTTTGTGCATGGCATCCCCAGCATTCTCTAATTCAAGTGCAGTACTTTAACCAAAATAATGCCCAGGGGCCAGAAACTGAAAGCACCCAAAGTGGCCATAATTGGACTCTGGAGACTGAGCAATCTTAAAAGCATGGGTTGGGGATAACAGAACTGCACCACAGGTAAATATTTAGTAGGGATTTCATTTGTTTCTTTTGTAACCTTGAAGTCCTCTTGGACTACTGTAGCATAACGTTTCCCAACCTAGCATCTTCCAGATGCTTTGGATTGCACCTCCAATCATTCCTTACCACTGGCTATACTGGCACTCAGGTTGATGGGAGTTGGAGCCTTTGGAAAATTCCAGCTTGGCTGCTGTAGAGTGTTGTCCCCAAGGCGCCATTTACTGGCTTCTACTGGTACATTGAATAAACAAACAAACAAACAAACAAACTCTGCCCATCTGTCTGGGTTTCCCCAGCCACTCTGGGTGGCTCCCAACAGAATAATAAAAACACGATAAAACATCAAATGTTAAAAACTTCCATAAACAGGGCTGCCTTCAGATGCCTTCTAAAAGTCAGATAGTTGTTTATTTCCTTGACATCTGATGGGAGGGCATTCCACAAGGTGGGTGCCAATGCCGAGAAGGCCTGGTTCCCTGTAACCTCACTTCTCGCAGTTTCAAAACCCTAAAATGTATTTTATATAATTGACTTTTTATTTCTATTCTTTGTATATTGTATTGTTGTTTTACTGCTATGGCCGATGGCTGACGCAAATAAAGATTCATTCATTCATTCATTCACTTCTTGCAGTGAGGGAACTGCCAGAAGGCCCTCGGAACTGGATCTCAGTGTCCGGGCTGAACAATGGGGGTGGAGACACTCCTTCAGGTACACTGGGCCGAGGTATACATAGCTTGGCATCCTGCCAGAGAGTGGTTTGTCAGGAGCAGATTACATCAGTGCTGCAGTGTCTGCTTCAAATTCCTGTAGCTTTCCTGGGTACAACTCAAGACACACTCTTCAAATCTATGCAGCTCTAAATGACTTGGGCCTTGTATACCCAAAGAGCTTCTTTTCCCTCAAGTTCTGTTGCTGTTACTAAGACTGACAGCCTGAGAATGTCTCCTTGAGTTGGTGGATGAGATTTGTAGGAAAATAGATTTAGGGCTCTCTCAATCTCAGGCTATGTATCTTAAAAGCAAAGCATAATGTTTTCAATCCCACCCCCCAATTTAAATCAGTTTTTATTTTATTTTTAAAATTAACTATTTTAAAGTGAAAACTTTGTTTCTATCCCCTCCATCTTACCTCTGTAGAAAGGTATTTAAAAAGTGTACTTAATAGATGACTGTTTGACAAATCTAATTAAAAACATGTATGAATTTTTTCAGACTTTATAAATAAGATATCCAACGATTTGCAGGAGCTACCATAAAAATGTCTCTCTTCAACCAGACATTTGACTGATTAAAAGTCTTTGGCATTTTAAATGTGTTTGGGGCTGTTTTAGTTTTATTGTGTATTTTGTATTCTTATTTTGTATATGTTGTGAACCACCCTGTGATCTTTTGATAAAGGGTGATTTAATAATAATAATAATAATAATAATATTCTTAATCTTCAAAGTTATTAAAAATTCCCAGTAAGTTTGCAGTATTCAAATGTTTTACCATACAGTGCCTTGATGTTGGGTATTTGTTCTTGTAGTATAGTGGGAAGTTCATAGGAATACAGCCTACTTCTTTGCTGGTGTCTTAGTTCTCAGCCTGGCTTTTTGCTTGCCAGGAATGACACTTTCTACCCACTTTGTCTGTGTTCCAGAGAGCCTCTTTAGTAGAGAGGCCAAATATATTTCTCATAGCTATCTCATAGAATCATAGAGTTGTAATACCAGTACATTTCTTGTCTATTACATTCCCATTAGGGGAGATGTGAATTAGGTTGATTTGCTTAAGAATGGTATTGATTACGATTTAATAATGGTACAGATAATAGCATATTTATCAGTAGCTTGTATTGATTGTTTTATGGTATATTTTTGTAATATTTGTGTTCATAATTTGATGTACACTACTTAGAGATTTTATATTTCAAGCAATTTAAAAATAACCTTAAATAAAAATGCTGAGCAAATGAAATTCTCCTCTACCCTTACACTTTAGGCACATTCAGTGTGACATGTGCAGTAGCAGAGCTTCTGTCACTTCTTCACCCCACCCAACCCTGCACCTACGGACAAGATCTAAAAAATGACTTTTTTTTTTAGAGGAAGCATTAAGTATAAATTGTATGTTCACTAAACATTAACCTTTTTCGTCCCTGTGTGCCAGTATTGATACTTGAGAAAGTGGAAAATGGAGACCTAAACAACAAGAACTTGAAGATCACAGATTTTGGCTTAGCCAGAGAATGGCATAGGACGACCAAAATGAGTGCTGCTGGGACGTATGCTTGGATGGCTCCTGAGGTCATCCGTTCCTCCATGTTTTCTAAAGGCAGTGATGTGTGGAGGTAAGTATATTGGCACTAAACACATTGGAATGTTAACTTGCAGCTCCTGGAAACCTATTTTAACTTTCTGTGCTTGAAATTATGTTTACTTGTTGAACAGAATTCCTAAACACTTGATTTACCAAAGCATCGCTCCCCCCACATCTTGTTTTGATACTGTTTTTGTTTCTGTGCTTCTGATTGCTTTGTTCTAAATTCTTACACTTTTATTTAGATGTACATTGGCTTATATATTAGTTTTCTGTATTGAGAATAGACAAACTACCAACAGGTATGTTATGTACTGAAGTTCTCACCCTGGGCCAGCAGGGGGATACTGTAGATAGTTATGCAAATGAAGGCTCGAAAAGTGACATTCAGTGATTGGATAGTTTTAGAAAATGGCAACAGTTACATTGTTCTGGAGCTCTATATAAGCAGGCTGACTGAGCTCCTCAGCTTAGTTCTATTCCAGTTTACAAATAAAGAGCTGCTTTGGAAGAATCGCTGTGTCGTCTGATATGTTCGCCCACAACTTAACAAGGTACAGGTTCAAGTCAGTTACTTAAACTAGATGCCCTTCTTTCCAGCATGAAACTTCCTGACTCATAAATTTTCTGTCAAAGATGATAAAACTTGGAATCACCAAATCGGTAAAATGCCAAAATGCCCTTTTTAAAAAACCCGATGTTCCAGTTTTGTTCCAAGTATTGTGTTTATATTTATAGTGTAGGTATTATATTTATAGTCTTAACCTTTTGTCCGTTATCTTGGCCCTCATTGCTGGGCAAAGAACTAAAAATCCCAGTTCTGTTTCTGCCAAAGACTTCAGTGCATAAATAGGATTGGTACATGGTCATGGCACAGGTTATAAGGTGAAGCAGATACATATAAGGTGTAGACAGAAGGCTATTAGCAAACTAGGATGTTGATCCAGCAGTGGCATGCCCCTAGTATCTTCCTTTTGAATATCGTGGCAGGCACAGTAGCCATACTCTGGACACTGGGCAGGTAAACAGATTTGGTCTCTGAGGTGTCTTTGTCAAGGAAGATGGTGTTGGTGCCAGCTCAGCATCTGATTTACTCTCAGTTGCTTCCCTAGAGGGAGGGGAGGCTCCTTCCTCCCTAGACAGAAAGAGGCAGAGGCGTCTGGGCAGGGATGTTTGATGTCACAGGGGTGGAACATTCCTTCACCAACTTGCTTGGATGTACCCGTCTATCTTCCAGAATACAGGCCCTCTACCTAGGTTCAGATGGGACACAGGTGGCACTGTGGGTTAAACCACAGAGCCTAGGACTTGCTGATCTGAAGGTCGGCGGTTCGAATCCCCGCGATGGGGTGAGCTCCCATTGCTTGGTCCCTGCTCCTGCCCACCCAACAGTTCAAAAGCACATCAGAGTGCAAGTAGCTAAATAGGTACCGCTCCGGCGGGAAGGTAAACGGCGTTTCCGTGTGCTGCTCTGGTTTTCACCAGAAGTGGCTTAGTCATGCTGGCCACATGACCCGGAAGCTGTGCGCCGGCTCCCTCGGCCAATAAAGTGAGATGAGCACCGCAACCCCAGAGTCGGTCACAGGTCCCTTTACCTTTACCGAGGTTCAGACACTTCCTGGAGTCCCGGTTTCTCCTTCCCCATTCCCCTAGGACCCTTACCAGTTCATCCATCTCCCCAAACCCCTCAGGATATGACCATCCCCTCTGTGACATCTCCACAGAACTCATTCATTACATCCATGTGTACTTAATTGCTGCTGTCACTTCTAGCAGAATTGGTTGGTTTTAAGAGAGAATTACATTATTAAACTTTTCTTTCCATAGCTATGGTGTGTTGCTTTGGGAACTACTAACTGGGGAAGTACCATTTCGAGGAATTGATGGCCTAGCAGTAGCATATGGTGTTGCCATGAATAAACTTGCCCTTCCTATCCCTTCAACCTGCCCGGAACCTTTTGCCAGACTGATGGAAGGTAAGTGTTGACTGCATTGGACCTGACAAGATACATGCTACTATTGGGACACAGTTCAGTACTGATTTTATGAAGATGCAAAACAATTTGGCTTCTGTAGTTTTTCAACGAAGTAGGTAGTATGTTGTTTCCTTTGTCTACTAAAATACCGGTTTCCAGAAATGACAGGTGGGCAGAATGCTGTTGTGCTGTTGTCTGCAGGCTTCCCACAGGCCTTTGGTTGGCCACTGTGAGAATAGGATGCTGGAAAAGATAGACCATTGGCCTGATCCAGGAGTCTGTTATGTTCTTAAGAAAGCTGTTCTTCTACTGTATGTATTCTGCTGCAATAGCAGCTTGCTATATGGATGAAGCTTTTGCACGTGAGAGGGTAGCACCTAGTAAAGATTGTGCCAGGATTTGAGTTGCACTTGATGTAATCCATTATTGACTCCTAAAGGCTGCATATATAAATCTACAATTCTCAGTTGGCAAGTTATACTGTCATGAAAGCAATTACATTTATACAGCTTTTGAATTACTATCTTTGTTCTGAATTTTGACATGAGTACATTTCTCCCCCAACAGTGTCCAGAAAAATATTTTGGTATACTTAATCTTGGTGTAAATCTCACTGAACAGTTTAACTTACTTCTGACTAAACATAAACAGCATTGCACTGTAAGACTTTTGTCGACTGGCTTGAGGAACCCAAGGTTTCCAGAAGTTCGGGGGGGGGGGGGGAGGGAGAAAAAAAATGAAGGTGTGGGGGAAACACCCCAAACCATTCAATAAAGGCTGAGCATACTCAGTGGGCACAGAACATTGATTTGATGAGAGCAAGAGATAGAAAATTGGAGGTGGTATGGAGTGTGCTTTAAGAAGTTGTTAGTGGCTGACTGGAGCCCTGAACGGAAGCACTCCACACTGTAATGTTTTGTTGCCCTTGTTTGTTTTATTATACAGTTTATATAATGCATTGTGTTCACTTTTGAGAACCTAAGAAAATACTGAACATTTTAAGTTTATAGCAATAGGCCAATAGTCTTAATTTTAAAACCAAAATAAGTTGAGAATAGAGATGACATTATTTCTTTAAAAACAAAAGGGCTTCTTGTGGTTTCTACTAGAACTGAGGAATGCATTGCAGTTATTTCAAGATTTTTAAATAATAAAACTAGATGAAGATCTTGTTTATAACTTCAGTCCTTTTATAAAGTGCTGCTCAAACCCATTAATTCTCTCACTGTGTAACTTCAGTTTTTATTTTGTTCTTCCATTAACTACGCTGGTGGGCTTCACTAAGCTAACAATACTAAACTTGCCTTCTTGTCTCTAAAGAGGTTTTTGGATATCACTGCAGTCCTCATTAGTGCAAATACTGTGACAGTTTCAAGCCTGGGGAACTGAAAAGGCACAGGCCACCTGCATTGTAGTTATCCTGCTTACTCACTCATGCATTTTCTTGGCAGCAGCACTTCGTTTTACAGTATGCCATGTTTCCTTTCTTGTCATAATCCTGATGCAAAGAGGCAGGCACAATACTGCTTCAGGATACGTCTATTTTGCTGATTGCCAGTAACTGGTTAATAACAGGGGAGAAAAGAATAGGGAAAATTTGCAAAAAAGTAGCACCCCCCTTTTCTGTGGCACTTTTGATCCAATTAATAGTGCAATCCTAACTATGTCTACTGTTAATAAGTCCTATTGAATTCAATGTGGCTTATTCCTAGATAAGTGGGGTTATGATTGCATCTTTAACCATTAGGTAAAGGTAAAGGTACCCCTGCCCGTGCGGGCCAGTCGTGTCCGACTCTAGGGTTGTGCGCCCATCTCACTTAAGAGGCCGGGGGCCAGCGCTGTCCGGAGACACTTCCGGGTCACGTGGCCAGCGTGACGAAGCTGCTCAGGCGAGCCAGCACCAGCGCAGCACACGGAAACGCTGTTTACCTTCCCGCTAGAAAGCGGTCCCTATTTATCTACTTGCACTTAAGGGTGCTTTCGAACTGCTAGGTGGGCAGGAGCTGGGACCGAACGACGGGAGCTCACCCCGCCGCGGGGATTCGAACCGCAGACCATACGATCGGCAAGTCCTAGGCACTGAGGTTTTACCCACAGCGCCACCCGCGTCCCTCTTTAACCATTATTTTTCTTAATTAAAGGTTTGTATAAATATTTATATCTGAACATCCAAAATGAGTCCCTTGAAGTTCCTGATGCTTTTTAAATTATGACACAATAGTGGAAAACAAAACCCAGTGAAGAAAAACCAAAGAGAAATGGGGACTTGGTCCATGGGACCATCCAATTTAAATGGCTCTTAAATGTAGGTATGTTTGTGTGGATCGTTAGTAGTTCTCTGTTCTGCATTGCATGACTCTCAAATAACAACAACCATGCTGCTTTGTTACACTATTGAATATCTTGAAATAAAAGTGAAGTGAGCCAAAAGAACCCTGTTGTTGGGATACTGCCAGGGAGACAAAGGCCATCATGCCCCCACGCCGTCTCCGGACGATCCATCAACCTCCCGTAGAAACGCAGTATCAGTCAATTAGCGACACAAGCCTCAGAAACGTCTGTCCACATTCCAAGGACTGGTGCACACCCCTTGCAGAGTTCGCACAACGAAAGATGCACTCAGGAGAGCATTATTTACAACTTTATTCAGCGTTGGTCAGAACAAAGAAAAACATGACCGCCTGCCTGCGTGTCGAGACACACAGAGAGAAAAACAACAGCTATATACAAAAACAGAAACTTCCTGTGAGCAGGAAATACGTAGGCTGTGACTCACAACAGCCTGTCCCCTTTTAAGGTGGAACGGAAATATCCTAACAGTAATAATGCAGGGCCTTGTTTCCTTTCTCTCATCTTGTTTCACTGCACTGTTCAGGGACTAGTTAACAACTGAAGTAGAAATAAAAACAAGCTAAATTGTTACTGTCTGATGACAACTCTGTAACTAAGACTCCAGAAAGCATTCATTTTCATAGTTTTTGCATATTCTGTAGGATAGGTAACAAACTCACATAACTACTGGGATTCTGCTTTAACAAGTATGCTTTCAGAAGTTTTATAAGCACAACCCTATGGAAATCAGTGGGTTTAATAACATGGATGTTTACTAGAAATCAAGTAAGATATTAAGTAAGAAATCAGCCGTATTTAAATCAGGGCGGCCCAACTTTTCATACCAAGTTGGCCGCATGAGTACTTTGACATAGAACCTGTGGACCTCATACTGCCTTGTTGCACAGGCGATGGGGGACCAAGGCCAAAATTTGACCCTGCACATCCCTTGTACTGCTTTCCTAAAGCTAGCTAAGCAAGGCACAAGACAAGCTGGGAAAGCACTAACTAGACTTTGGGAAGGAGGCGGGAGAACTCTATGGCCCTGTCAGAGCCCACACATGTCCTTCCCAGAGCCCAATGCGTCGCTTACGTGGCTTTGGGAAGGAAGCGCAAGGTCTTCAGGAGTCAAATGCATGGGCGTAGGTAAGGGTGGGAGGGTAGGGGGCAGCTGCCCCCCTAAATCAATACAAATCAATAAAATCTGAGGTTCTGCCCCCCAAAAGCCTTCCCCCTAACCAAAATCATGACTACACTCATGGGCAAATCTTGCTGAGGGCAACCAAAAAAAGGCCTCGGGCCATGCATTGGACCACCCTGGTTTAGGTAATTTCAAATTTGTGTAAGGAAATGTATAAAGTCAGAGGTGTGGGAAAGGCCAGTAGTGACATATTTGAATGAAAAGGCATCAAGATAGATCCTTATTAAATTCAAAGTACTTTTGTGAAACTTTTTACTGTTAGGAATGATGGGGCAAACTATGGCGAGTATATTATTTACTTTTCTGAATTAGGCATTGAGAACCTGTAAGTGAGTAATTGATGTAGAATGGTGTGCATTAATTAGCATTGTTTCTGGAAAGCTTTGTAATATGGGGGCAAAGTAGGTGTGATGTGAGAGATCTATGACAAGAAGTTTTGTTTAGAGATGGTTGTAATAATGCTAACGTGCTAGTTTCTAGTGTAGAATTTAAATTATTTGGGATTCTGTTGTGTAGAAAAAAGTTGGCAAATGGGGTATAATCATATGAATTCAAGAGTGGTAGACCAGAGGGTTAAAGATATCAACAACTGAGAGAGTACAGGTTGTTGGCATGGCCCAGAAATACTCTTGCAACCTGGCAACTTTTGAAGTAGATTGTTGTTCTGTCTTGTCTTTATCTGTTTAGATTGTTGGAATGCTGACCCTCATTCAAGGCCCTCCTTTGCCAATATTTTAAACCATCTAACCAACATAGAGGAGTCTGGTTTCTTTGAAATGCCAAAGGACTCATTCCATTCCTTGCAAGAAGATTGGAAAATTGAGATCCAGGAGATGTTTGACCAACTCAGGTCCAAAGAAAAGGTAAATGGTGCTGGATATTGATTTTATACTAATGTTGTTATTGTATTTTATATTAAGTGATTTTATTTAATCAGAGCTGATCTTGCAATGCTGGTAGAAATAATGCATCTTGGGTCAGTGGTTTGCATGAATGTATACTCACAGTCTAAATTTGTCAAGCAGAAACTGCCAATATTCACATCTTTTGGAAATGTCCAGTGAATATTCAAATTTGAAAGCAAATTTTTGTTAAAATTAAGGATATTATCAAATATGAGATATTGTGTAACACTATGTTCTATTTGGCTACATGAAAGATCTAATTCTACCTGAAGACTGAGCACTTGTCAAAAGAACATAGGAAGGTTGTAAAAATGGTGATTCCTCCAGATTTCTTCCTCAGTCTGCTGGTAGAAGTGGAATACTGAAGTAGACATGCATAATCCAGTAGTACTATATTTAAAGTCTGATCAATATAATGACTTTTATTTTAAAAAATAAATTAGACTTATTATTCAGATGATACGTATACGCAACTAAACCACTGTCAGAAGCTACAGCACATTGATTACCATTTCTCTGCAGTGCTTGACAGCACAGTGATGAGGACCTGTGAGTCCAGTTAGGCTCACCAGGCCTCCCCATTTATCCCTGGGAAATTAAACATGGAGAAGTTAAAGATGTGGGTGGACCAAGAAGGAGTTTGCAGACACCACCAATCAGCTGATCAGTGGCACCTGCAAAGCGTTGTGTATTGTGTGCTATGTGTGCCTTTGCAAGTCGCAGCATTTGACTGTTAATAATAATAATAATAATAATAATTTTTATTTATACCCTGCCCTCCCTAGCCAAGGCCAGGCTCAGGGCGGCTAACAAGCAATAATAAAAACAGGTTGAATGAATACAACTTAAAAACAAGATTAAAATACAACATTAAAATACTGAAACATTAAAATGCAGCCTCATCACAGGAGGAGAAAGGAAAAAGAAAGAGGGGGAGGGAATCAAATTGGCTCCAAGCCAAAGGCCAGGCGGAAGAACTCTGTCTTACAGGCCCTGAGAAAAGAAATCAGATCCTGCAGGGCCCTGGTCTCATGAGACAGAGCGTTCCACCAGGCCGGAGCCAGTGTTGAAAAGGCCCTGGTTCTGGTTGAAGCTAATATAACTTCCTTAGGGCCTGGGACAACTAGGGTGTTGTTATTTATGGACCTTAAGCTCCTCCGTGGGGCATACCAGGAGAGGCGGTCCCGTAGGTACGAGGGTCCTAGGCCGTGAAGGGCTTTAAAGGTCAAAACCAGCACCTTAAACCTGACCCTGTACTCCACCGGGAGCCAGTGCAGCTGGAAAAGCACTGGGTGAATACGCTCCCATGGCAGAGACCCCGTGAAGAGCCTCGCTGCAGCATTCTGCACCCGCTGGAGTTCCGGGACAGCTTCAAGGGCAGCCCCGCGTAGAGCAAATTACAGTAGTCAAGCCTGGAGGTGACTGTCGTATGGATCACTGTGGCCAGGTCAGGGTGGGAAAGTTAAGGGACCAACTGCTTGATGCGGCGAAGGTGGAAAAATGTTGCCTTGGCTGTTGCTGTAACCTGCGCTTCCATGGAAAGGGAGGCATCAAGGATTACACCCAAACTCTTAATGGAAGGCAATGGCACTAATTGGGCCCCCGTAAGAGAAGGGAGTTGGTCCCTCATCCCCATGCCATCCCGACCCAGCCATAGGACCTCTGTCTTCGAAGGATTTAGTTTCAGTTGGCTCCCACAAAACCATCCAGCCACAGCTTCCAAGCATCTGGTCAGTGTGTCCGGGGCCGAGTCGGTGTGGCCATCCATCAGCAGATAGAGCTGATGGTGGTTCCTGCAGAGAGCTGTGCACCACACAGCTGATTATCGGCTTCAAAGTGCTGTGCACCACACAAGAGGGAAACGGGTCACGTCATGTCATGGTGACACCAGGTGGTTGATAAATTTGGCCCACGAGGTGGGAGAGTTAAGGATCCAGCCAGATGCATTTCCTCACCTCTGGTGTAAACCTTTTCCAGTGTTTTCATTCATAGGCCTTAGAACTAAAGATTACCAATCATAATTGCTGCCATTTTTCAGTGGGCAACTGAGATGATATATGATACTTCTAATCTGGAATATTGCCTTGTTTCCTTGCAGGAACTGCGGACATGGGAAGAAGAATTAACCAGAGCCGCTGTTGAACAAAAGAACCATGAGGAGTTTCTGCGGCGACGGGAGCAGGAGCTGGCAGAGCGGGAGATTGACATATTGGAAAGGGAACTCAACATAATTATCCACCAACTGTGTCAGGAGAAGCCGCGTGTGAAAAAACGTATGGGCAAGTTCAGGAAAAACCGGCTCAAGTTGAAAGATGGCAATCGCATCAGTCTCCCTTCTGGTATGTCCCAGTATAACAGGGCTAAACAAAGTTCTGTCTTGCACTCATATACCGTATTTTTCCGTCTATAAGACACCTACATGTAAAACACCCTCTATTTTGGGGAAATAGGGAGGAGATATTATCCATGTATAAGATGAGCCCAGATTTTGAACATTATTTTAGAGTAAAAAAGCATAGTCTTATACATGGAAAAGTACGGTAATCGTTTGCTGTAGCTTCCTTCTAGACATGTATATAGAATATGCTCTGTGTGACCTTGGTGACAGTGGTTGAAATATCTAAAAAGGACTACTACAAATACATTTTTAGTATAAGTATCTGACTGGCAAAGGTCTCATCACATGGGGTATGTGCAAAGTTAACAAACATTTTTCCACTAAGCCGCCTCTTCCCCATGCTTTTCGTTGTAACTATAATGCATTTTTAAAAATTCTTCATTCTTCACTGTGTACTCTGCAAGAGACCACTAACATTTTCATCTTACTTTATTATTGTCTTGCAGATTACCTGAAAATGCATTGTGATTATTCTACAGGCTGCAGTTTAATTGCTTGTTTAATTGTCACCTTCTTGTTTGGGAGCAGGCAGGGTACTGGGCACTGGTTCCTGTGCCTATTATAACTGAGTAGAAAACAGCCATACCTGCCAAAACACTCTTTGCAACTGTTGACAAAGAAAGACATATTGATTATTACCACCTCTTGGGCTTGTGTGAAAAAAGTGCATTCACTAAAAATACATACAGTGGTGCCTCGCAAGACGAAATTAATCCGTTCCGCGAGTCTCTTCGTCTTGCGGTTTTTTCATCTTGCGAAGCACGGCTATTAGCGGCTTAGTGGCTATTAGTGGCTTAGCGGCTATTAACGGCCAAGCGGCTTTAAGAAAAAGGAAACAAACTCGCAAGAACTCGCAAGACATTTCGTCTTGCGAAGCAAGCCCATAGGGAAATTCGTCTTGCGGAATGACTCAAAAAACGGAAAACTCTTTCGTCTAGCGAGTTTTTCGTCTTGCGAGGCATTCGTCTTGCGGGGCACCACTGTACTGGATCATTTAGTGAAAAATGTACATCTCACTGGGGATTTAAATTTAAATTCATATTACAATGCTGCTAAAATGCTATAGCAGAAAGAAGGAATTCATTTCCTTAGGTGATGTCATAGTGAAGTGACGAATGAGTATATCAGGTCTTGTTTTATTAACAGATTTCCAGCACAAGTTCACTGTACAGGCTTCTCCAACGATGGATAAAAGGAAAAGTTTGATCAGTAGCTGCTCCAGCCCTCCTGCCAGCCCTACCATCATTCCTAGGCTCAGGGCCATCCAGTGTAAGTAGTTTGCTATAAAATTTGGCCACGTGCCAATAGATTATGGTTTCTGTTTAGGACAGGATTCCACAATGCTTCCTGTATAGCGGGGTGGCCAATAATAATAATAATAATAATAATACTTTATTGGTCTCAACTCAAAATGACTCAAAATGGCTAAAAAACAACAGCAAATTAACAAAAACCCACATAAGAACATTAAAATAAAATAAAAACCCATTAGATTAATACCTTTTAAAAAATCAAGATCAAAAGTGGCAAATGGCCATCTTTTCCACAGTAAGGATACCCGCTCCCCTCTCCTGTAGTCTATTTTCATTATATGGGCAGTCAGTATGGTACTGATCAGTGCTGGGTAAGAACATAGGGTGAAGAATAAAATCTATGGGCGTCTGATTATTTGCTTGCAGTAATACAAAATAATGGCATAAATGCATGCTCATGTTTTTCTGTCCTATTGTCCCCCTCCCAGTAACTCCCAGTGAAAGCTGCAAAACATGGGGGCGCAACTCTGTATGCCAGAAGGAAGAGGAAGGAGAAGAAGAAGAAAAAAGAGGCCAGAAGAAGAAAGGTCGCACGTGGGGCCCAAGTTCTCTTTGTCATAAGGAGCTAACAGCAGGCGAGGATGGGTGAGAAGCGTAATCTTAGCTGCCACTGTGCCATAAAGCCTCAGTCCAGCTTCCTTTTTTCTCCACAAACCTGCCATACTTTAGCTGGTATAATTGTTTGCCAAAGCAGTTTACATTCATTGCAGTTTACATTCATGTTATTTATTCCAATAATAAATTATACATTTAATAAATAGTAATATGCCCTTTTAAAATGTGTTGGGGGGTATTGGATTGTTTTTGTTTTTATTTTGATTATGTATTTTGTGTTTTTATATTGTTATTTTACCTTGTGAATCGTCCTGAGACCTGCAGGTATAGGGTGGTATATAAATTTAATAAATAATAATATTTATACTCCACTGCAGATAGCAAAAAGAGAGAGAAAGAAAAAAGGTTCACATCACTGCCTACTTGTTAAAATTAAAACAGAACATTCTTGAGTGTTAATACTTGAAACTTTCCCCACTCAAACCTGAAACAAAAAAAGTCCCCTTAAATACTACAACAATATGGTCTCATGGGGATCTGTGTGGAGGTTATTCCACAAAGGTACAACTATCTCAGAGAAGGTCTTGGCATTCTTTGCTCTCAATTTTAACAATGTAATCTGATGGTGTTTGAAGCATCATTTCTTTAGTTGATCATTAACACACGGGGAGAGGATTGCCTCCTATTTTTTTAGATTAGAGGCATAAAAAATACAAAATCAGCTATCTCATCTGCAAGAGATTCATGTTCAAAATCCCATCTCCTCTTAGCCAGTCTGATTTCCCAGTAACATCTCTGCTACTTCAAAGATTGTTCTGTAATCTTAGTATTTCCATGCTCCCTTGCCCACCCCATTTAATCAGAATTATGTTTATTACTCAGTTTCTAGGTATAGAAATGCCTTTCTTTCCTGTCCTGTAGTCTGGCACTTAGGTGAATGCAGACAGAGAGAATTTGGTTAAAGTCACTGGCGCAAGCTATAAATTATTCTTTCATTGTCATAGGGCTGGCCATCTGGTCATTTGACCAGCCAAATAATGGCAGTTGTCTATTTGACAGCAATCAAATATTCCATGAAGCCAAAAACAGTGTGTACATGGCAGCTTACTTTCAAAACAAGGTTCAACGAATCTTGGCATGCTTTGGTAACTAGCCAAAATTTTCACCATGACCCTCCTGCTGTCCTTCAGAAGAAAATAGACAGACTTCTGGCATTTTCCTGAAATGAGAAAGGCAGAAGTCGTTTCTGTTAATTGGCTGGGAGAGAATTGGGCATCTAATTGTCCTGAAAAAAACAACAAAAAACCCAAGCAGAACATCCAGCTCTTCTTGAGTGCTTTGGACTTTGGCCATCTTTGCAATATCTGTCCTATTAATACAGTAGTATAATTTTTGATTTGGACAAACCTATTTCTCTTAGGAGACAAAGGGGCACACATTTCAATTGAGTTTTGTGTTACATTTCTCATACTTCGGATTGCATTATGTAATAAAGTATACATGAGTCAAGATCCTAAATCTATTGATACAAATGGCTGTTGTGGTAGGTAGGAATAATGGAAGAATCATATTGGGTGGATTCAGCCCTGTTCAACAAACAGAAGGACTCCTTCAGTCTGTGCAGTTGACTTATATCTAGTGGAGGCTCCTCGGGCAGTGGATTCTCCCAAATTACTGTTTTGTGGTTTATCAGCCTGTAACGTTTGCAACCAGTTTGTAGGATTACCTTGAGGAGGGAAGATGACGGAGGAATATTTTATGATTCAGACTCATTTGCTCAGAATAAAGCAGCCAAACTTCATCTTTAAGCCTTCTGTTGGCAAAATTGTGATTACTACAAGGACCCTCAGGAGCACTGTATCGCTGCAAAAAGTGACAGCTGTTAATGTAATCAGTTCTCTATATCTTTTGGGCTATCCTCCCAAAAGCTGATCGCATCCTTCATAAATATGTAAGTGAAATCTAGAAGATGCTTATTGCTGAATTGGATACACAGCTGGTATATGTGGTCAGAAAATGGGGGATGTGGATGAAACAGGTTCTGCAAGTAAAACTCCCATCAAATTTGAGAGATGGCTCACATGCTTTCCTTTTGGATTGTGGGGTTAAGTAGCAGTCACTAGCAGTAGTGTGGATTATTCTTTGAGTTTTACTTAAGAACAGGATTTTTCAAGTTTCAGGCTAGTCGGTCTTTCCAACCAAGAATTACTTGGTTTCTTATGACAGGCATCAAAACCAAAGTCTCTCCACATAACCATGTCAAGTGTTCTATAATTACATTTTAGACGTTCAGATTTTTCAGTGCAATAGTGCAGTATTCCTTCTTCATGTAATGTAGGGTTGACATATTTTAAAAAGAGAAAATCCGGACACAAAAGTTGTTGAGTCCCCCCCCCCCAAAAAAAAACAGTTTTACTGCTATTTAAGGAAATTCACCAAAATCAACACTTCCGAAATGACTTGTCATACGTCTGGATTTTCCGGACATTTCAGCATTTTCTGCCCAGACACTGTTTCCGACAGCCAAATCCTGGCTATGTTTGGGAAATTCTAGACGTATGTCAATCCTAATGTAAACAGAGGGAGGGGTCTTTAGACAATAAAGTCTTCAAAGATTTTTGGGCTATGCTCCCTAAATAAGAAATAATGAACACTCACAGCACAAAAAATGGATTTTATGGGTTCTTTAAACCTGGGGAGAGCTGTGATAGTTCAGAAGTCCTGCTATCAATGGTCTGAAAGGAGCATCTCTTTGAAAGAAGTAGAGCAGACCAACAACATGCTATTCTGTCTGGGGAAGAAGCACTATGGTGCTGGAAGACCATGTGGGAAGGTGATGCGCAGGCAGGGAGAGATTCCTTTAAAGAGTGCAGCAATGATGGAATTGGCAGGAAGGGCACTGTTGCCACATATTCGCTTGCCAGAAATCCAGGTGGGCAGTGAATCGGGCAGAAATTTATTTTTATATACTTTGGAATTGATACTTGACCCCACTGCTCAAATAGGCCCTCATTTTCAGTATGTCTCAGAGTAAGTCCTATTCCAGGGCACTATGTACAATCTACTTTATTGTAAATTAATTGCTGTGCTATGTAGGGAAGAGACTGAATTGTTTTTAGCACCCTCTAGTGACCACCTTGGTTTTTTTACAACCCAGGAAAATAGAATACTTTTTCCAGAATAAGAAAAAACAAATTTTTTTTAACTCACAGGTTTTGTTCCTCAGCTAAGGCTTGCCAAAGAATTGTCGTCCTCTGTTTTCATTTATGAAGGAAGCAATATTTGCTCTGCCATGCTACAAAGGACAACCCAGAATATTGTGTAACTCTCAAGACCAAGATGAAGGCTACACTTTGTCTCTATATATGAGAGGGGTTTTTGCCTGTAGTAGGCAAAACCAAGAAATGCAACGTAAACCTTCTAACTGAGTGGAGGATAAGAATACAACCTTCTCCCAAATTACATACTTTACCTTGGCTCTTCTTATTTTTGAAGTGAGCATGCTAACTTCACTTTTGTATGTGTCGCCTGCTTAGTGATGTTTATCTAGGTACTTAAATTGGGGTCCTCCTTATATAATGCTCTGAATGTAAGGCTTATGTTGCAGTTCAAATGCTGAACATACACAGATTTAGCCCTATGAACTGCCTAGATAAGAAACCAGCTGTGAATCATATCAAAGGTTTTCTGAGCTGTTCAGAGAAAAAGCAGAGTATAAATGAGATGATAAATAACATTGCAAGTATCCTTTTCCTATAATTTTATATCTCTAAGGATGAATGAAACATAGAAGAGAATAGTGCACTTGCAAAGGCAAATTCATAAAATATAATTTTTATTGCAAATATGCAATACATGAACTTCTTCTGTTGGGTTGATTCCTTCAGTGATAGGTTGGTCTGCAAAGAAAATAAGATTTTGAGTATATGGTTATAAATAAAACTGGCATAAATTCACTGGAATTTTCTGGGCTTATCTCACAGGCTCATTGTGAGAGTACAATATGCTAAAGCAGAGCTTTCTGAACTTTTCATGTTGGTGACACACTTTTTAGACATGCATCTTTTTGTGACACAGTAATTCAGTTTTACTAGCAAACCAGAGGTTAAACTAACCCCTTTCCAGCCCTGGGAGGAGCGTGGGGAGCATTCGCACCACACACCTACACACTGCAGCCAACACACTAATGTGTTGCAACACACAGTTTGGAAAGCTGTGGGCTAAAAGGCATGTTCTAACCTGACCCTAGGCCTTACTGGTGTGATGGAAAATGCATCAAAGGGTAACCATATACTCGGGGGGGGGGGGGTAAGGTTACCCTGGTAACCTTAAGACTGGACTGCCTCCATACATTTTAAACAAGCTTTTATAGGCTTGACTTCACTTGGTATAGAATATGATTGTTAAGTTTCTAACTAGGATCTGCTAGAAGAGCTGGCAAGATATGCTGTATAAACAGTTGATTGATGGTCTGTTCCCAGGCACATTTCAAAGCGCTGATGGTTATACGCAAAGCCCTAAATGACTTGAGGCTTGGCTCTCGGAAGTCCCCCTCAAGAGTCCCACTACCATCTGCAGTTAGGAGGGTGGTGACAAAATGCTACATTTTGGAAAGATGCTAGAAAAGTTAGTGTGATGTATGCTGTGTCTTTTTGAGTCCAGGCAATTTTTTTTTTAACATCCACATATTCTTGCATGCATAATAATTATCTTTGTTTTATATGGGTTATTGATTGTGATGCTGCTGTTTTTCTGTATTTTTATATATCACTGAATTTGTTTTTTTTAACTATATGTCACCATGGGAGCTTATTTTTCTAAATAAACTAATATTTGTGCTAGATTAGAATAGTTAAGAATGAGGAGATAAATATTGGTCATAAAAACAGACAGAGGAAATAAAGTATCTGCATTTAAATGTGTCTTCTCTTCTCTTTACTTTAGTCTAAAGTGTTTGGATGGATCCAAACAGTGGTCATCTAGTGCGCCAAATCTAGGAAAAGTTCAGAGAACACCAGTCATTTTCCCAGGATTTACAAGCCTAACAGAGATGGGTAAGTACCTGTTAAATGAATTTCTTAAATGCACTGTATTCAGTCTCATGTTTGTTTCTGTCCACCAACACTTACCTCTTACAAAAAAGCAAACCTCAGAATCTGCTTCTGTAGTCTTAAATTTCAAGACTTGCACCTATTTTTTTAAAAAAGATGTACAGTATCATGAAAGTTTTGTTCACACCATTGGCCTGGTTGGGACCAAATGCAATTCCGCTTCTCCCCTCCCAGATTTATCAGGTCACTTCAGAAACTGGGAACACTCAGATAAAGATGTCCAACAATTATCTTAATGCATAGTCAAGTACATGTGGGGAAAGGCTACCTGAGTCCAAAGCCATTTATGGCTTTTAAGTACATGGTTATTTAAAACAATAAGAAACTATACAGTAAGCCACATAGTCAGCACAACACACTATTAAAATAGTGATTAAATGGCAAAATAAAAACTTAAATTCCAGTGTTATAAAATGTGATTTCTCAAACAGTTCCCTGGGTAGATTTGTGTGCTGTCATTCACCTTCAGGTGTTTTCTCCTTGATATATATGATCCATTGAAGTGGTGGACTATTTTGAGAGAAGTTGCTATGTGTGTGTGTGTACACAAACCATGCATGATTTTTATATTGGAGGGTTCCTTTTTCCTCCCTCTGTTCTGTTTGCGTTGCTTCAGCGGCTAGGCTGAAGGGAGCTGTCCTTAGAAACATGTGTGGCTGCTTTGAGCAACAAGTGGCTCATTTCTGTTTTAGCTGTGCATTATTTCAAATCTCAACTCCTTTTAGTGAGGATCATCTGAACTTATATTGCTTTTATATTGAAATTGGAATCCAATAAACTGTATGTGGCATGTACATTTGACAGCTGCCATCATTTGAAAGGGGTGAAGTTTCCATATTCTTTGTTCAAAATGCAAACATGTTTTTCCATGGTAGCAGTGTGTTTCTATTTTTACACACAAGATGAAGCATAACCCATTCTTATTCATAGTTAAAATGTCAAGGCCCCACTCTTTTGCAGAGAATGAAGACAGTGATTCTTTGAAAAACGGAGAGACCAAGATGCAGCAATCACCTGGGTCTAACCAATCATACCTCTGCATCCCATTTCAGAGAAGTGAGGACTGGGATGGCCAGTCCAGTGATGCCAATGAGGAAACCACTCCTATGAACTCTACCACAAGCACCCCTCAGCTCACCCCCACTAACAGCCTGAAACGTGGAGGTGCCCAGCACAAACGATGCGAGCTTGCCTTTCTGGGCTGTGGGGCTGTCTTAGCTGCTGCTGGCCTGGGCTTTGATCTTTTGGAGGCTGGCAAGTGCCAGCTGCTAAGCCAGGATGAGCTGGATGCCCCCAAGGAAGAGAAGAAGAAACGTGATAGTATTTTCCAGCGGGCTGGACGTTCCCGTCGGAGCACCAGCCCACCTTCAAGGAAGCTCTTCAAAAAAGAGGAGCCCACATTGTTGCTGGGCGAGCCATCCAACTCCCTGACCCTTCTCTCTTTGTCTTCCATTTCTGAATGTAACTCAACCCGTTCCCTGTTACGCTCAGACAGTGATGAGATTGTGGTCTATGAGATGCCAGTCAGCCCCGTGACAGTGAAGGCTCCCTTGCCAGTAGTTAGTAACCCACTAGTTAATATCTGTGTTGAAAGGTTCAAGCGAGATCCCAACCAGTCCTTGACTCCCACACATATGACTCTCTCTTCTGAAGCCCGGCAAAGGGGGCACAGACGGACTCCCTCTGATGGTGCCATAAATGTGACTGGTCCGCTTGCCAATGGATCCCCTTCCAGGAATTCTTCTGCAGCAGCATTAGGATCAGGTACGTTATTCTTTTCCATCCTTGTACTCCAGAAAGTGAATGCTCTTGCCATTGCACTTCCTGCAGATGTTGCCTCTGAGGTAAGATTGAAAGAAGGCAATAGCTGAAGGAAACGAGAGGCACTATGTATAATTTTTACTTCTGCACTTTGAGGATCTCAAACCCTCAGTGAGTTAGGGAATTCCCCTGCATGCGAATACAGGCTCTGTGGAATGAGCGGATGAGACCAGTAGTGGATTTGGCAGTCAAGAGGGCGGTTTCTGCACATGATGTAGAGGGAAGTGAGGGGTAGGTGGGGCTCATCAACCTGGGTAAGTAGCCAATCTAGGAGAAGGAAAACTCTGATCCTGAATCTCTGCAGCCTTGTTCCTTAGCCACAAGACTAATGCGTAAACCCTACACAAATCTGTAGTGGAGTCCCTAAGATGGTTGGAAAGTGCCTTGTATGCCTACTTCTGGCAACTCCTGCAGCCAAGCTGGTGCCAAATGTATTGTTCTGCTTTCCTTTGGACCACCTCAGGGAGGCAGGGAGTGGGGTCTTGTCATCTGGGCAGCCCAGGACCTCCAAACACACTGCCCAGGCTTGCACTCTGGGGAGGTCACTTTGGTGCTGCTAACACAGTGGTTTGACTTCACCCCCAGAGGCGCAGTCCATTGTCTTTCAAGACAGACAGATGCTTACAACAACAGAGGATGGAGGTGTCCTCCATGTATGGGTAGGGTGGACAGTAGAGAAGAATCCCCCAAACACTGGAGTAATGAAGGCTGCTTTTGTGTGGTCTTCAGTCATCTTTCCTCATACTTTGCAGCCTTCTGTGTGGCTGCTAGTTCCAGCTTCCCCTCCTCCTCTATTTCCCTTAATATGGTTTCCCTCCTTAAACACATTTTTCCCACGCCACACAAATTGCACGTATCCAGGTTCTCCTCGAGTGTTTTCTTCCTCTCAAGAATTCTTGCCACCCTAATGATTGCTTCCTTCTCTTCCTCAAACCCAGTTCCTCTCCCATTTAAAAAATGTCTTTAATTAACCCTATCTGGTGCATGTAATAACATCAGATTTGGCATTGGAAGTGATTCAGAGTCTCTCACCATAATTGTTTGAATGTGCTTAAATTTCATGCCAGTAGGAATTTCTGCTTCTTGATTTATTGTCTTATTGGTAAATGACAAGTCACTGAACATCCCCTCTGCCGTATTTCAAAAGAAATACTACTTTGGGTAGAACAGCACTGCTGCAACATAAAATCCTAATCTATTCCCTTTACTAACAGTGTAATAGACATTCAATGAGGGATTTATTTTCAACACAGGCTTGGACTATGAAAGCAAAAGAATCCAATATAGGCATTTATTTCCTAAACTGAATATTAGCTATTGTCATAAGAAACCTTTTAGACACAGGGTCTGGTAGATTATAAAATATAATTTCTAAAGCAAAGTAAATACTCTTACATTGTTGAGAAAGCCTGTAGCCATATAAATTATATTGCATCAGTTCCTTCCCTTCTCTGTGCCTGATTTCTTTGTTTAGCATTCATATACTAATCTGGTTTGGATTTGGCAGCTTACAGTATAAAATTAATACAATAAATCACAGTAAGAATGGCAAAATAAAATTACATTTCTTGTCTCATAAGATTACTTTTTGATTCCAGTTGCCATTCATAACTAGCAGCTTAAGCATGAAACTTCAGTAACACTCCTAAGAATAACTTGAATGTGACTCTAGTTTGAAGTTAGTTTGGTCTAGATGTGTTAACTGTAATAGGAGTGCTTTGTTCCCTATTTTAATGGGGGGAAATTGAACATTCCTTTTACTTCAAACAGTGAATGGTAGTGTTGGTTAAAGGTGTAACTACAGTTACAGTTTAAGGGAAACTCGCCTTTTCTTCCACCTTTTAGGCTTTGCAATACAAAGATTCATTTGAATTCTATAAATTAACTGATAAATTTGATTGAAATCCAGACAGTCAAGGAAATAAATCTTTAATCAGTTAACATTAACTTGTCATCTCTTGGGATTAACCATTCCTACCACTTCATTCTGCCTTAACATTCTGTTTCAGTGCTGTACAGTTCCAACTATAATAAGCAAACTGAAGTGGGTGCAAGATATCTGGTAGAGTGTGACTGTTTTGGGTACACTGACCCAGCCACTTGCACAACCCCCTCTAGGAAGAATTGTGAAATTTCCTCAGCAAGTAGAAACGGCAGCTCCCCAATACCATCCTTTAAAAATGGGATCTATTCCAAGCTGTGTCTTTTCCTTCTCCATTTGCCTTTTTTGAATTGCAAAATTGGTTCTAAAATGGGAGCTTCTGGGCACAAGTTAACACTTCCTAATTATAAAACCTATACTCTCCCCTGAAAATATGTATGTATTACCTAGAGACAGCAATGGTTATGGGGAGAAACTTTAGAACCTTCATTGGTTTTCTCTGGCCCTGGGATATGTTTGCCAGTGGTAGACACAGCTACCTAAGAGCTGTGAACACTTGGTAAATAAAATGTAACTGTAACATTTCTGTAGTAAAGAAGCAAATTAGCTTCATAAGATTCATGTTTCACTATGAGCATCCAACATTTTCAATGTTAAGTATGCTGTCCTCTTCCCTGTCTATGGCTGCATCCATACTGCTGGTTGCACTTTGGCACTAAGATGCTGGTGTGGGAAGAAAAATCAAGGAAAAAGGAGGTACAGAGATGCATATTGTGCGTTCACACAACAATCCTTAGACAGTTACATAACTGGACTCTGTCAGCCTTGCTGCCTTGCTACATCTACCATTTTAGCTTGCAGGGATCAGCATGAAGATCATTGCAGCTCCCATGTGGTTTGCATGCATCAGGTGAACTGAATCAATCCTTTGTCTGACATCACCCTTTGTTTACTTAATGAGCCCGGTGTCTCTCTTCATCAGTGTTGTCTAACCAGTTGGTTTCTCTTTCTTCTCTCCCTTCCTCCCCCTTCCTTTCTTGTGTTCATTGTGTTTTTCCCTCTTTTCCTCCTTCTGGTGGGGGAATAGGTGTATTAAAAACTCCCAGTCCAAGTCAGGGTCCAAATGAAGTCCCTCGACTGCCAGACCCCAACCTCATCTTTCCTCCAACCCCCAGGCGCCATAATGCTCAGCAAGACTCCATGCTGGAGAGACCCAAGACCTTGGAATTCCTACCTAGGCCACGCCCTTCAGCTAACAGGCAGCGGGTTGACCCCTGGTGGTTTGCATCCCCCAGTAATGCTAGGGGCGAGTCCTCTGCTAATAGCTCCAGTACTGAAACTCCCAGTAACCTGGACTCCTGCTTTGCCAGCAGTAGCAGCACTGTTGAAGAGAGGCCTGCACTGCTTTCTTTCCGTGTCAGATTGCCTGAAGAGGAGCGGACACTGTTGGACATGGATGTTGAAGGGCAGAGCCAGGACAGCACCGTGCCGCTATGCAGAACTGAACTGAGAACACGCAAACCTGCAGCATATGAACTCAAGCAAGAGTTCTGGTCCTAACATGAAATCCACAAGGGATTGGTAAGCTCCTTTAGATTCAGTTCTACTTCTTGCACTAAGAATGCACTTTGAAGACAGGTGAAGTAGAGAGATGCTGCTGAGGTCATATCACGGTGCTGTTTCCACTAACCGATATGGTATTGGGGTACCTGGCCTTTTGTAAGTACATGTACTAAGCTACACAGAGCTGCTGACTCTTCTTGTGGGGTTTCCTGTGGTCTTCCTTGTATTTTCATTACAGTGTTAAACTGCAACAAGTAATGTGGGCAAGTAAGCCTCCATTCTTGACCGTCAAGAACTCAGATACCCTCTGTTGGTATGGGTTTTGTAATAACCTCAACTCCTACCTTTTAAATGCAATGATAAGCAGTGTTTGTCTACACTGTTACAATGCAGGAATATATATAAAGGTTTAAGTGTGTCTGAACCAGCATTCTTGTTGCATTTGATTGAGCTTTTCTCCCTTGATGTCCCAGAACAAATGTTCACTCATTTTTGGTATGCATACAGTTCCTCCTCCTAGAACTGGCTGCTGGGGGGGGGGGGCGTTCAGGATCTTGCCAATGATCCATAGCACCCACCTCTATACTTTTTATGCATCATGCTGAAAAAAGGCGGAGCCACCTGTTTCTTAGTTTCTGAAAGTAAATGTTAAATAAAAAAGGGATGTCTCAGGTTGCAGTGGTGCAAAAGGATTGGGGCAACGGGGTGTAGCTCTGATAGTGGAGAAATAGAGGTGGGACTCTGAGATTTTGGCTCGGACCCATCATACATGAGCATGAAGTTTAATGAGACACAACCAGGAAGTGGTGAAACACAATGATTAATCTTGTAATTTGATATGAAACATTGCATTCTTTCACAAATTTTGGTAGTACATTGCATGAAAAACTGCCAGTCAGCTTATGCCCTTTCCCCCCTCAATCTTACTTCATTTAGGTAAGTAATTTCCAGATTTAATAATCAATTTGTCTCCCCATTATTGAGCTGACAAATAGCCCACCCCCAATACCATGTACATGGCTATTCCAAAAAGAAAAATCACAGTGAGCATTATAGAGATTCTGGTGGAGAGAAACAGCTTGCACACTTGACCTTAATGACAAGACTTGGGGATACTTGGAAAGCAAATCGAAGTCTCCAGGTCTCAGCAGGAACTGAAGAGCACATGCAATCCCACTGGTCTAGTATCAAATAGTGCTCAGAGCATAACAGAGCTTATTACCCCACCCTCTGCAATCTCCTCCCCCACCATCTCAGATTTCAGGAGGACTACATTATGCCCCCAAAGTTCAGCATTTTGTCATGTAAGGCCCCTTCCAGGACCTTTGGTGTGCATGAATTTTGGCAAGCTACTGAGGCTAGCCAAAATCCCTGGAGCCCTGCTGCTATCACACTCTTTTATGACTAGATCTATTTCTCCCATCTGGTTTTAAATTATTGTTGCCATATTAAAATAAAGACCTATCTGAAGTTTGGAAAAAGGTGTTTAAAACCTCTCTCATGTAAGTTTCCTTTTTTATTCCTAGGCTGTAATCCCTTTTGCCTATGTTCCTGACATGTCATGAATTGTATCTATAGCAGTTTACTACTTATCTCTGTTGAAAAAGTGGGTATAGATCATTACTAGGAATCAAAAGTGGTCACTCTTAAGGGGTTTTGTGTAAACTTGTAGAAATATTGTTGTCTAGCATCTAAATAATAAAAATCTGAAAATCTGTGCTAGTTCAGGTTTAATTTTGGTTCTGCCACCAGCTTGCTGTATGACATTGGGCAAATCACTTTTGCCATATGTGCCTCAGTTTCTCCATCTGTACCAAGAGCTACCTCATGCAGCAGAAGTGTAGTCTTATTGTGCAAGTTGAACCATAGAATCATAGAATCATAGAGTTGGAAGAGACCACAAGGGCCATCGAGTCCAACCCCCTGCCAAGCAGGAAACACCATCAGAGCACTCCTGACATATGGTTGTCAAGCCTCTGCTTAAAGACCTCCAAAGAAGGAGACTCCACCACACTCCTTGGCAGCAAATTCCACTGTCGAACAGCTCTTACTGTCAGGAAGTTCTTCCTAATGTTTAGGTGGAATCTTCTTTCTTGTAGTTTGGATCCATTGCTCCGTGTCCGCTTCTCTGGAGCAGCAGAAAACAACCTTTCTCCCTCCTCTATGTGACATCCTTTTCTATATTTGAACATGGCTATCATATCACCCCTTAACCTCCTCTTCTCCAGGCTAAACATGCCCAGCTCCCTTAGCTGTTCCTCATAAGGCATCGTTTCCAGGCCTTTGACCATTTTGGTTGCCCTCCTCTGGACACGTTCCAGTTTGTCAGTGTCCTTCTTGAACTGTGGTGCCCAGAACTGGACACAGTACTCCAGGTGAGGTCTGACCAGAGCAGAATACAGTGGCACTATTACTTCCCTTGATCTAGATGCTATACTCCTATTGATGCAGCCCAGAATTGCATTGGCTTTTTTAGCTGCTGCGTCACACTGTTGGCTCATGTCAAGTTTGTGGTCAACCAAGACTCCTAGATCCTTTTCACATGTACTGCTCTCAAGCCAGGTGTCACCATATCAGTGCACCTTAAATAGAAGTGGGGCTATACAACTTTGTAACTTTATTGAGTTCTATATGCTGAGGAAGCAGTCCCCCTCTGGCAGTTTTAGTGCTATGTAAGTGATCTGCTAGTTCAAGGTGAGTTTGTGCTCTATGCCAGTCCAGATGAGCCAATATAAACTATATTTTCTTGAATACATGTAGACTGTCTAAATGGCTCACTCCATGAGAGTCAAGCCCTGCTTAGCATTTAACTTACTGCAGTTATAAGCACCTGCAAGTCAAGGGTGGTTCATTCCTAACTCTGGTACTGGTAATTTGAAGTCAGCAACTTTCCTTATTCTAGATTGCATCCATTAAAAAAAATTAGACGAGCCCTGGCAGGGTCTTGCCCTTGCCCTTGAACTCTGAACTTTAGGAAAGGGGTGGGGGAGCCCGTGGGCCCCCAAAATACTGTTGGGCTACAGTTTCCATCACTCCTGACCATTGGCCATGTGGACTGGGGCTGATGGGAGTTGGAGCCCAAGAACATCTGAAAGGCCACAGGTTCCCTGTTCCCACTTCATGGTGATGTTTAGGCACTATACCTTTTTAAAGAATTCAGGCCCATTACTAAAACTGTGTGATTACCATTATGATTTAAATAATCATAGTCCAACAACCTGCAGTGCAGGAATCTTTTGCCCAATGTGGGGCGTGAACCCATGACCCTGGGGTTAAGAATCTCATGCTCTACCAACTGAGCTATCCCAGCTCTGCAGCTGATGTACATTCTGCATCAAATGCAGCTTTCAGTACACCATTTCTTTAAAGCTGTTGCCTTTTAGGACACCAAATTGTCCTTCAGGAACCTCAGTTTCCTAGTATGTAATCTCTATAAGCCCACAGTATGCAAGTTTCCTACTTGTAACTGTCCTTTGCATGGTCCTCTGTGCAATCATACAACACCCCTCTTCATTTTCTGCTGCAAGAGTTTCTTGCAGTTTCTTCACTACTTCCACAACAGCTGAGTGAAAGGTGCTTGCTCCTCTTCTCCCAAGCTCTTCCTGAGAGGAGAAGGCAGGCATCCTAGGTTGTCAGCCCAAATTCTTGTGGTTCTGGAGGTTGCTGTGCATACCTGGAGATCCCATTTGTATAACTCTGCAGATGACTACTTTAACATTAATAACAACTTAATATCTGTGTTTCTATTTTTGATCAGGATGCCAAATCCAAAACAACTTTTTTATTTTTTTGGCTTGCAAAATCAGCTTTCTTGAAGAGCTCATGTTTGCCAGCACTTAACTACTTAAGGTGATTTGCTTGGGTCTCCTTTATGGGTCTGGTTTATGTTTTGTTGAAAGGCTGTGTTCATGTGGAGTAATTCCGCATGTAGGATGTTTCTCATAGGCTAGTCCCTGTGATCTTGCATGCCCAGGTGTAGCATACTCTCACATCTGATGTTTGTGTAGGTGCAATGTGACAAATGTTTTGTAAGGCACCTTGTAGAGAGAGTTTGGTTCTTGATATCTGCTGATTCAGTCTACTGCGCTGAACCCCCCTCAGGGCTTTTGTCCCAATTGCCATGTTCACAAAAGTATCTCTAACGCAGTAGCATTAGAAAGCACTCCCCCAACCCACTCCCCAAATTAATATTACAGTCTGTTTACTACATAAATGCTACTGTGTGCTTTGTTTTGTGATGGTGGTTAAGTGATGTTGGAGCCTGCCTTTTAACTTCGGCTCAGCTGTAAGCTGGCAGTGGGAATGACTGACACCCCCCCCCCCCAAAAAAAACCAAGCTTTGTGACACAACCTGTTGCCTCCTACCCTTTGGGGCTTTAAAATGGTAATTAAATGGCATCAGTGACTGGTTTGTTTCACTGTAGCTAACCCATCTACAGGTTACACTTTTGCATAATCTACTGTATCTCTGTTCTTTGTCAATGTGTTATGTGTATACCTTTGATACATTTTTAATTTATGCTAGAGAATAATAACTAAATTAAAATGGAGATAACTGAAGTTGATAATATATGTTTGCTTTTCTCTTTGCTTCCCCTCCCTGGATGTATGGTGGGGGATGGGAAAGTAAAACAAGGATGCCAAGCAGGCTTGGTTCAATGGCTACAATTATTATTGTATTACAGTGTAATGCTATTCTAGGCCTTGTCTCAAGATTAGAGCACACAAACTTGAATAAAACCGTTCTAAACACCAATTGTGTAGTGAGAGCTTCATTTTCTCTTTTTTGCAAATGTTACCTAGAAATGTTGGGCTTTAATGATGTTGTGTGAATGTTATATCCTTGTGCTCGCTTTCTATCATATCCTAACCTGCTTTGTCAATACAGGTAATTTCTGATGAAGAGCACCCTTTGTGTGTTCTCTTCGGTCTTGAACCTGAGTGCCGTGGATTGATTTCAGTCAAGATTATTTCAATCATAGATTTTGAAATAAGTTTTCTCGTTTTGAAAAGCATATATTTCTTGAACAAGCACTGCTTTATCAATTAAAACATACTACTTTACTGCTAAACAGAGGCTTTATACAGCTAGAAGCATAATCAAAAACTTTTTACTGTGCAGCTGATGTGCCTCATACACAGTAGATTGTCCATTTATAGGCAAGATACTATATTTCTGTTTGACTGTTTAGCTCTCCATACACATGCAAGGGTACTAAGCAAAATTGATTACTTGAAGGGAAAGGTTGCAGATCTATGCCTATGGAAGTCCCATCGAACCAAGTGGGGCTCGTTTCCAGGTAAATAGTAGCAGGATTTATTTATTTATTTTTGGGATTTGTATCAACCCTCCCCCTAAGGTCAAAGGGCAGACAGCATCAATAGCAACAGAAACAAACTGCAGACAGAACAACAAATATAGTAAGGAGAATCATTTTTCTTTCCATCTTTTAAAGTTTCCTGGTGAGGTAGGCTATATATTTTCTGTTGCCCTAGTGATTTTATTATTATGTGTGTTTAGTAAGCAGCTTTTAGCATTTTAAGTAGAGGCAATGGATAAATATGGCCCACACTGCACTTGAAGTGGCATAGACATGAAATATTGTCTGCATTCCACCTGCTAGCCATTTCTTCTCCCCACCATACAACATGCTTTTCCAGACTTGGTTAGAAGTTTGTTTCTTTCCTTTTTTCTTTCTTTCCATACTCTTTGATGTGATTCATTTTTATTCTATACTTTTCTTCTCCTTCCACTGCTTCCCATCTCAGAAAACTCCATGCGGCTTAATATTCTCCCCCACTCACCTCAAATTGAATCCAGAACAAATAGTTTTCTTTTATTAATTCCATGAGACCCAGGCTGCATAATCTCACCAGCATTTGCTAATTTAACCTGTCATCTCTTGGATTAATTTAGAAGAGAAAGGCTGTAATCCTAACCCTACCTACCTATGAATAATCCCTACTGAATTGCTTAAGATTTAATCCTAAATAGACATGGTTAGGACAGCAGCCTAAATGTTAATATTTCTTGCCATCTCTTAAATTTAAAAAGTTCACAGTAGCCAGAAGATGGCGCTCACTGCACTGTAGAAACCATTTTATTCTCCTGTGAACCAAGGTGGTCTGAGCACTAACTCATTCTTTTCAGAATCTCCTAGTAGCTCCCCTAATATAATCTGATTAGGGAAGGAAAATTCACACTTCTCCATCTGACACAGCTAATACTAATGAGCAGTGATTCCCCTTCATTTCTAATGAAAATCCGACAGATATAAGCCTCTTTAGAGATGGGAGAATGACACTCACTGTCTTGAAGAAAAGCCGAATTAGTTGGGTCGGGGTTCTACTTTCTGTGCAGTAAAGCCTGCTGAGGAGGTGTACAATTGCAGATTTGGGAGGACTTGCAGTTCTGTCTATTATCTCTGTGTAAATTTACACAACCAGTAAAGCTCCACTGCACAAAAGTAGGGTTTGAAATGTGAACACACATGTGTAACAGCAGGCAGTGCCTTAAGAGCCCCTCTCTGTGGGTGAGAGTGAGGGGGTGTCACTTTCAAAAGGGCACCCACCACCTGCAGGTTTTAAATAACTTTGTAAAAAATGAATTATTTCAATTTCTGATAAAATTAATTGATTCATGGGCATTTTTTTTTTTTAGTCTGATGAATAGCTTTTAGTTTACTCAAAATAGCAACTCTAATAAGCTGTGCATTTGGTGAACTGAAAATAATGAAATGATGTTGGGCAGGAATTGAACTGCAGCACCCACAAAAGCTTGAGGGTTGTTGTTTTTTAATCTGTAAGGTTCCACAATACTTTGTGTTGCTTTTTTTCTGTGACAGATCAACACAGCTGCTCTTCTGGAAATGCTTCCCTTCCCTCTGTCTTTGCAAATGGTGCATTGCATTTAACTATGAGATAACGTATTCATTCTATAAAATGCAGACTAGTTCTGTCCACTACATTTGTGGGTCAGGAGCAGCTTAGAACAGCAGTCAATTGCCAATGAGTTTCTCCTTTCGAGAACCCTAAGTGCTGAGGGTTGGACTAATTGGAAGCAACTGTAGGGGAGCTGATGCCATTTTAAACTGTGTGAGCTGGAATTGTGGAGGTCTTTCTCATTTTAAGACTATTTTTAAAAATATGTTGATGTAGGAGGCAGAAGAGAGAAGCACGGATGAGTGGACTCTGATAACTTGATAAAAATCCACATATTCTCGGGAGAGAGGAAATAAAGCAGTCCTATAAACTGATTTTAAAAGCACTGAAGGGGAAAGAGAATGGATGAACTCAATATGATGATGAAATTAGTTTTGGAGATCAGGAAGAATGGATTAAGCGTGATGCATGTATCCAGCATGCATGTATCCTGGAATTAATCTGTTCTAACTCTGTGACATAATATATGGTAAAAACTTACACATGGGAATGAAAATGCCTTGGGGCTGTTGGTATTCAATTATCCTCAACTGATGCATAGCCATAAAAGTAGACTTCTCCCCCCACCCCTTAAACTGAAGACGCTTTCCACCACAAAGTCTGAAGGATGTAAGTTCACCTGAAGGATGGGATGTAAGTCATTTGACCCAAATTTTGACCTCAGTGGTACCTTGGGTTACATACGCTTCAGGTTACAGACACTTCAGGTTACAGACTCCGCTAACCCAGAAATAGTACCTCGGGTTAAGAACTTTGCTTCAGGATGAGAACAGAAATTGTGCTCCGGTGGCACAGTGGCAGCGGGAGGCCCCATTAGCTAAAGTGGTACCTCAGGTTAAGAACAGTTTCAGGTTAAGAATAGACCTCCAGAACGAATTAAGTACTTAACCCAAGGTACCACTGTACTTGGCTTTGGGAAGGCAGCTTGAGGACTATGAAGAAGGGCATCAAATGTTGCTGAGGGCCGCCAAAAACAGCCTCAAAGACCACATGCAACCAGGCTGCATGTTGAACCACCCTGCACTAGAGCAGTGCCAGTCAAGCCCCAGCAAACACACAGGCCAACTTTTCCCTCTTCTTTTTTTACTAGAGTGGTCATTTTTCAGGGTTGACCCTCCTCCTTGGTGGTCCCCCATACTTATATCTGAGACCAAATGCTATAGCTGGAGAGGTTTACTTTGATCTGTTGATAACAAAGTTTGAAATACACTGAACTCTGCATCACTTGGACTTAGGTAGCCTCTGTAGTCAGCTGTTCTGTGTTTCTGCAGTTCTGTATAGTCTGATAAGCAAAAAATGAAGCTCTGCTGCTGTTTGCTGTTTCACAGTGACTGCTGATAAAGGAACGTTTATCTACAGTATGTTCAGGCAGCCCAAAGGTGGCAAAAATGTGTTTTAGATTGAAGGGATCACGGAGAGTATTCAGGATCTCCAGCTATAGCTGATGAATCTGCAAGGATTTAGATTCTGCAGTAATACATTTTGAAGAGATTGTGTCCATTGATTATGCAGCTCCATTAGACTTTTCACTGGATTATACCTAGCAACTAGGATTATTCGACTGAGATGTTAAAGGAATTGAAGATATCAGGTGTGTAGGGAATATCTATAAGCTTTTCCAGGGACTCTGTGAACTGTTGCTGCCTTAGCTTGAACAAGTCATGTGGAAATCTAATTTCTCTGAGGAGCTAGTCTTTTAATTCCCAGTGGTTACAATCCTCCTCAATTAGGTTTGCAAACAATGTGAATTTGGTGGGCGTATGGAACTTCCTTACTTTTGAACCTAAACTATTTTTCCACAACTACTCCTTGGGAATAAATCAGTTTCATGAATCAGAATACAGGCATATTTCAACTAATACACACTTATTATTTATGTAAAGTGATTGCTTTAGGTTGAGATCCGACTGCTAGACTGATGTTGCAAACTGAGCATCTCTGGAGAGCAACAGCATCCTTGAATATGGCCCTGGTAAAACTGGTGCTTTGCTTTGCAGAAGATAATGGATACTTTGCCTTTAGTATATTAGGGAAGTGAGCAAGCACCAGAAGTTCTAGGAAGGGGTGGTGAAAAGTAGGAAGACTTGAATTTGTTTGCTGTTTTTAATTGGTACCTTTAAAAAGCAAGCAATGGCTTGACATTTTGTGAACTTTATTTTTTTTTATTTTAGAGCTTTGAAGAGTAGATGCTCCATTGCTCATGTTGTTTATCTCCCTTGATACTTTTTTTTAAAAAACACACACCCACGAATGAGCCATAGTTTTGTAGCAAAGCTAACCTGCTTCCACATGCCACACACACAGTCCATTACATGTGTGTTTGATACTATCTTCATGCAATAGCTCTGCAGCTTCTGCCTTCCCCACCCCAATTTGGAAGGTGACGTGTTGCTGGGGCATGGGTGTACCAGTTGTTTGGGTAAGTTCCAAAAGAAATTTGAGGAATAGAGTTGAGGTATTCTGGCTTTGTCCCTTGGAACCAGGGCTTTGTGTTCCAGTACATACATATGTATGGTTACATATGCTTCAGGTTACAGACTCCGCTAACCCAGAAATAGCGCTTCAGGTTAAGAACTTTGCTTCAGGATGAGAACAGAAATCATGCTCCGGCGGCGCGGCAGCAGCAGGAGGCCCCATTAGCTAAAGTGGTGCTTCAGGTTAAGAACAGTTTCAGGTTAAGAACGGACCTCTGGAACGAATTAAGTACTTAACCCGAGGTACCACTGTATTGTTGTATGCCACTCCTATCTCTAAGAGGTGTGAGATTTCAAGGGTTCTGAGCACTTAGCCAGAGTTCATGTTTCTGTTTGGAATGAGGCACAGTGGAATCTGTGGTGTCTTTATGATATATTGTTTACACATACACATATATAGAACGTGAACCTACGATGGAGGGGTTCACAGCATCAGCAACCCAGAAGAGTCTTGCTTCTTCCATAGCCACAGCTTTGGATTCAAATAGAAATCAAACATTGCTGTTTGACCACGCTTTGCAGCTTGCTGCTTTGCTTCTAGTTCACATCACAGCCCCTTTCAGCCCTAAATTCAGGCTTTTGCCTGTCTCAGAGTTGAAAGAGGGACCCCACCTAGTTGCCATCTGGCACAGAGCCCCCTTTCATTTGTAATTAATGGCACAACAGGAAACTAGCCTGGCTTATATTTTAACACTTGATGGATGTAGGGATCAGAAGGCTTCATTAGATTTTAACACTTGCTGTATTCAGGGGAAAGGGGCCTGGCACCCACAAACTCATAACAGTATTATTTGAATCCTTCTGTTTTCCCCAAGAAGTTCGTGACAGCCTTGCTGGGATTTTATCCTCAAAGAACATCCCTGTGAGTTAAGTTAGGAATGTTAGACTGAGAAATAGTGTTCTGAGACCACCTAGCAGAACAAGGATTGGATCCCAGCCCTCCCTAGTTCTATGTATTTTTAATCTTTTGTTGGAAGCCGCCCAGAGTGGCGGGGGAAACCAAGCCAGATGGGCGGGGTAGAAATAATAAATTACTACTACCACTACTACTACTAAACCACACAATTTTAAAGCTGTATTATGTAGTAGAAGCAGTTGCTAGACATGCCCCCCTATCCCTTCTCTCCCTCCCTGCTCAACAAAGTGAAACCTAGATAAATTCCTTAATTGCCAAATTTGTCATCAATTTAGATAATTAAATGAGACTTCAGAAACTATCTTAATTAATCTGTTGGTGGCATCCGGTCGAGAAATGCCTTTAATTTCCTGAGGGACGTAGTGACTGTGTGTAAGGAAATGGAAGATAAAACGGCCACAGGGTTTTGTCTCATAGGGGTTTTATGACAATGTAGGAAAAGATTTGAGAATATCTTAAACATTTGTTTGTGAATGACCAGTCTCTTGAGATATGATCCATTTTCTACTCACTGCTTTTGAGGCCATGGGTTACAGCATTCTGGTAAGTTATGAACACACACAAAAATATCCTGTTCATTACTTCTAATGTCAAGACAGTTTTTCAGCAGGCATCCTATTATTGTGTGCAATAGATGAGTGAGCATCAGAAGAAAATCCCACATTTTTAGATCAATCTCATCTTGAAGGCCTTTTGTAGCCAGGAAATTTATTCAGAGCGACTGAGTGCAGCAGACCATCACTTGCCTTTAGGATCAACGACAGAATATCTAAAGTACGTACAAATTTGCTCAAGGAAAAATATATGGAAGGACTAAGTTATATCAGAAATATGCCTAAATCCTCTGAGATTTAGAAGCACAAGAGATTATACTCTGGTATACTTGGGCATCAACTGACAACATTACAGATAGGTGTTTTGTTCTTAACCCCCCACTCAGCCACCACCTTCCTTAGTCCCTGGTAAGTAACTCCTGTTTATCTCACATGAAGCTCTGTTACTTCAAGTAAAAACCATCCCTCCCCCATAACCAAAACCTTAGCACAATAAACTAAATGCTCTGATAACTAGATTAAAACATCAGGATTGGTATTCAGCTAAATTGTACCCTTGAAATTAATGGACCTAACTTGGTCACGTTCATGAATTTTAATGGGTGTACTTGGAGTAAAACGTGGTTGAAGACCACCCTAAAGGACATACTGGGAAATTAGGAGGGGAATTCAATGTAACAGTCTTCTGATCATTCCATCTGCACAAGTTCCCTCAGTGCCCTGTTCTGGGCGATATTCCTGACCCTCCAGAGTAGATTTGGGGGAGGCATTGTGGGAGAAGTGCAAGGAAGCCCCATTGTGCTAGCATGAACCCTTGCGCTGGCTACTGCCAGTACGCCAAGTTAGTTAAATTGCAGCACATCTTGCCAATAAGTGCTGCAAGTTGTGTGCCCTATGCTCTGCATCGCGGGTTTCCTTTCTCTTCCTTGTTCATGAAAAAAGATTGAATGTTTCAAAGTTAAAAAATCTGATATGGATTTTCATTTAAAAAACAACAACAACAAGCAGCTGCTTCCATATAATCTGACTGGACAAAGTAGACATACAACTGTACATGTGTACAGGATCTCATGTAGGACAAATGTCTGATTTGAAGCATCACTGATCTCTCTTTCATTGTTACAGTTTTAAGTGCATGCCTTAAAATTTTCTGAGCAATTCCCCAGTGACTAAACTACAGCACTCAAGGAGATTTAGGGGTTCAAGTTAAAATGGGTTAAAACTTCATTAGTCCAGCTATTTTCTATCAGATGTCACCATTAAAGGTCAAGCAAAGAGGTCCCTGATAGCTTTTGAAAGCTTGGCGGTGAGGTCACCAGAAGGACGTGGTCTCTTTGATTTATTCTATCATTTTGGAAGCCTCGTTCTCTCAATTTGTGGGTTTGAAGGCAGTCTGGGAGAGAGATGTGGGAGCTGACCTGGCTATAGCTCAATTGGCCAGATGGATAATGGTCCACAAAACCATTTACCTTTGTGCCAGCTTATATTCAGGAAAACTCTCTTAATTCACCATTGGTTTTACACAATAGTTTATGGCTCATATCCAATGCTCTTGTAGTGTCTTGTGCCAAAGAAATAATAATGAGAGTGGGTCTTTTGGCACCATTATGCTCATCATTGAAATCCTTCTGGCAGGAGGTTATAAAGGTAAGAGCTGCATTATTCGCAGACAGGTGGTTTTTGACCCTAACATGTCTATTGCTTCTTTCTAGAATCCCTGTACATTCTGGACAGCACAACATCAAACTACCCGCATAGCTTCCCAGTAGCTGGTGTTTTCCTTACTCTGGTTTCAATGTAAACTGCTAAACCAAACACAATAAAAATCCTTTTATCTATATGCCATTATGGTATAGGATCATAGCTGTCAACTTTTCCTTTTTTTAAAGGGAAATTCCCTTACTCCAAATAGGATTCCTTGCAAGAAAAGGGGAAAGTTGACAGCTATGGATAGGGTAGTGTTGCCATATTTCAAAAAGTGAAAATCCAGACAGGAAATTCCAGATGTATGGCAACCCCTAGTATAGAACTACTTTAGCAATTCAGGTACCCAGGGTTTATAGCTTGCACTTTATCACTGAGGTGTAAATGGTTTGGCATCACGCACCAGTGTTTCCTGTGCAGCTGTATTCACTCTTCAGTCAACAGCAAAGCATCAGTACCCAGCAGAGACCTTTAAAGGTGGGGAAAGCATTTAAAAATAAGTTCTCTCCCTGTGATTACAAAAGTTGCTGCTTGGGTGTCTCACTCCTGTGAAGTGTAATCAAGGATTAAAAGCAGTTTTAAGAGGCTCATCTTACAAGAACAAAGCACCATTATTAAAAATGAAAACAGACTTGGGTGCTCATCTGGCATTATTGCCTGGTGTCTGATGTCATAATCAGTGGATCTGAAAGCTCCATCTGTGTGTTCCACTTGCTGCCGCCACTTCATAATTATGTTGCATTGTACACTGCTTTTGTTCGTTGACTCATTGGCTGTTCCTGGCTTCAGATGAATTATTCAGCATCGGAAGCTGTTCTTGTATTCAGCAACAACCGTAGCTTGAGTTTCTGCGGCTCCTTCCAGCTAGTTTTAAATGTAACGGAAAGCAATTCACAGGGTCTTTACTCACCGTTGCTACACGATGAAACACTTTGACATTTTATCTTTTTGGCAAGAGGTGTTTCTGACTACAGAAGCTCTGCATGTTCCTATTGAAGAAACAGGAGCACACATGTTTATTAAGACACTCTAGCACACCACCATCTATCTCTGCTTTTGCTTCCCTTGCTACAGGTGCCTTTTAATGACTGGTATAAATGTGTATATTCTCTTCCAATTAAAAAGCTGCCTGCAGTGGCAAAAAACCCCAGCAATGGTATATCTGTCCCATCCTATTAGGGGGACTGCTCAAGGATTTGCATGCTCAGTTCCTCAAACAACCATCTATGTAGAGCAGGAGGGATGAAGTGGAAGTTGCAGTCAGACTACATCCAAACTTCTGTTGGCCAGTTTTGACATAAGAGCAGAGGCACCCACCTGCCAATCACCTGATGTCATTTGTCATCAGGTGATTATGCTTCAAAGGAAGAATTGGGAGCACACTGAGCATGCACTCCCAAGTCTCCCATTCCAGCCCTAACTGTAAAAATAAGAATCTGGGGCAGGTCTTGCATTTGATACTAAATGCAGTGCCAAAAGCAAGCCCAGCTGGAGGCAGAGATCACCTGTCCAAGGGAATTCTGATCAGGAGCTCTCATGGGCCACCATTCCCAATGGACCTTGTAGGTGATGCCATATTGAAAAAGTCTGTATATGCAATGATCCAAGAGCCCATTTTCAGAGTCTTGTACTGTTTGCAAAGTGGCAGCAAAGACCATTATGTTTTTAGTTTTTAGTTTTTCTGGACTGTTTGTGTAATACGTTTTGGGATTTCACACATCTGCTGAAACAAATGCAGCATCTTTGGGAAAAGCTCTGGTAGAATAGCAGGGACAAGTAATTCAATTGTGCTATATGCACAAGCTCATATCATTTTGCACCAAACTCCCTAGGTTTTGTTTTGTATTTACCACATCTAATGAAGATTAGGATTCCATTCTCTCTGTAAGAATGCAGTGGAACATTTGGACTGATCTTTCCCCCTTTCATTTCTCTTAACTACCCTGACTAAGTATACAAAATAAAGCAAATGCCATGGAATAGGTGGCTACCAGCATGCTCAAAGGATTTTGTGGAAATCATTGCAGTTTTCTCAGCAATTCAATTGGAATGGAGATAAAAGATTCCCAGATATCTGATAACTGAGGCATTCTGATTTAGTCTGTGTTGTGTGAACATATAAAAAATGTGCACAGCGTGTCAATCTTGCCACCTGTGTTGACAGGACAGTGATATGACAGCTTCAGTTAAGGGTCCAAAAGTTTTCTGTGGGCTACCTCTCTCATCATCACTCCTGATGATTTGATTGATTGATTGATTGATTGATTGTTTAGATTACTTATATGCCACTTTTCCACCATCAGCTGTGCCCAAAGTGGCTTACAACAAACATTCAAAACATCATAATACTAATTTGCAATAATGCCTGGGGCTGATGAGAGCTGGAGTCCCACCAACATCTGGGGGACAACACATGAACCACATCTGATCTAAAGCCACTCCAACTGTAGGGATTGGCTCAGATGCCCTTACCCATTTATATTTCTTGTTCCTGCAGGTGTGGCTTCTATGTCACTTGAGTGTTTCATCTTAACTCTAGTTAATGTGTTGTCTTCATTTTGGAAACTGCAGAAACAAAAGCCTTTGTGAATACAGAGTAGTCAAGCAGTCCAAGCAGAGTTTATGATGTTAATATTCATCCACTGCACAGCCACCCCTGGAGATTAATCATCTTTCTTCTTTTGAATATTTCCCATGATATGTTTCTAAATAGAGGACAGAGGGATTCCTCAGCCTTGTGAAATCATAGCTGTTCAGATTCCGACAAGGCACATTGAGCTGACAGTTGCTTTTGCCTCTTTAAAGTCTGCAATCCCTTCTTAAAGTTAATGTCTTGTTCGACCATACAATAAGCTGAACAAGCAAAAAGAAATACAGAACTCATCTTCACAGTCCAATTAAGAAAGTCTTCTAATTATATTCCCGGGACAGGGGCTCCTGAGAAATAGCAATATCTCCCTGTTCTGAGAGCTAAATCATATCTGCTGATGTTAGCACAGAAATACTATCTGCTGTTAAAAGCCCACTTGTTCTTTCCCCACTTAGTGAGATTGTCAGTTGTCTGCTAGAAGGAAAGGAGGAATTATACTGGCAGTCTGAAATAGAGTAACTGTCAAGCAATGGAGCTCTCTCATGAGTTTGTGGCTTAGATGGTGCTGTAACCAAACTTCCAATTTGTAGGGGGACCCAAAATTGAATAAACGTTCTCCCAAGAAAATCTTAATTTTACATTTTGCACAAATTACGCTAATGGTATTAAATGAGCAAATATGAGAATTTGCAAAGTTATTCTGTGATTGCTTTTCTACTCATGGAGCACCCAGAACTGCTTACAGCTTAAATGAAATACAATACAGTGGCAAAGAATATGAATACAAAATAAAATGGGGGGGGATTGTTTTCACTTGTAATTGTTGCATTGCACCCCAATCTCTGAGTGGTGTGAGATTCCAGGGGTTCCCAGGATTTGGTTTCCTCATAATGAGGAACAGCATAGATTGTTGTGTTTTTATAATGTATGGTTTATTTACACACACATACAACCTGAGTCTATGATGGAGGGGCTCACAGCCTGCTTCCTGCTTCTAGCTTCTAGCTCACACACCTCAGTTCTGGCTTTTGTCTTTCTGACAATTGAGGGAAGGGGGCCAACCACTTTGAACTCTGGTACAGAGCCACTTTCTTTGTTGCCTTAACGACCCATATTGAGGCCATTTCCACGAAACTTGCCTGGCTAGTCCAGCAATTGAATCCATGTTGGATCTAGGAATTAGAAGGGACTCAGGCATCCAGCCTTTGTTGTTGTTTAGTCATTTAGTCGTGTCCGACTCTTCATGACCCCATGGACCAGAGCACGCCAGGCACTTCTGTCCTCCACTGCCTCCCGCAGTTTGATCAAACTCATGCTGGTAGCTTCAAGAACACCATCCAACCATCTCATTCTCTGTCGTCCCCTTCTCCTTGTGCCCTCCATCTTTCCCAACATCAGGGTCTTTTCCAGGGAGTCTTCTCTTCTCATGAGGTGGCCAAAGTATTGGAGCCTCAGCTTCAGGATCTGTCCTTCCAGTGAGCACTCAGGGCTGATTTCCTTCAGAATGGAGAGGTTTGATCTTCTTGCAGTCCATGGGACTCTCAAGAGTCTCCTCCAGCACCATAATTCAAAAGCATCAATTCTTCGGCGATCAGCCTTCTTTATGGTCCAGCTCTCACTTCCATACATCACTACTGGGAAAACCATGGCTTTTACTATACGGACCTTTGTTGGCAAGGTGATGTCTCTGCTTTTAAGATGTTGTCTAGGTTTGCCATCGCCTTTCTCCCAAGGAGCAGGCGTCTTTTAATTTCGTGACTGCTGTCACCATCTGCAGTGATCATGGAGCCCAAGAAAGTAAAATCTCTCACTGCCTCCATTTCTTCCCCTTCTATTTGCCAGGAGGTGATGGGCCCAGTGGCCATGATCTTCGTTGTTTGATGTTGAGCTTCAGACCATATTTTGCACTCTCCTCTTTCACCCTCATTAAAAGGTTCTTTAATTCCTCTTCACTTTCTGCCATCAAGGTTGTGTCATCTGCATATCTGAGGTTGTTGATATTTCTTCCAGCAATCTTAATTCCGGCTTGGGATTCATCCAGCCCAGCCTTTCGCATGATGAATTCTGCATATAAGTTAAATAAGCAGGGAGACAATATACAGCCTTGCCGTACTCCTTTCCCAATTTTGAACCAATCAGTTGTTCCATATCCAGTTCTAACTGTAGCTTCTTGTCCCACATAGATATTTCTCAGGAGACAGATGAGGTGATCAGGCACTCCCATTTCTTTAAGAACTTGCCATAGTTTGCTGTGGTCGACACAGTCAAAGGCTTTTGCATAGTCAATGAAGCAGAAGTAGATGTCTTTCTGGAACTCTCTAGGCATCCAGCTCTCTAGGCATCCAGCCTACCCAACCCCAAACTCACAACATTATGCTGAAATGTATCTGCCAGCAGCGGAGACTGCGGGTTTCGCTTCATGTGACACTCCAGTGCGGTCTTTGCATTTCCTATGCCTGTAATGTAAGTGTGCATTGGCTGCAATGGCCCCTTGATTTTCAAATGTCTCTCTCCTGCTTTCCGTCGCCTGAAAGGAGCGCTACCAAGATACAAAGCCTACTTTGTGCCATTTGTGTCACAAAAAGTTCTGCTGTTTTACTATGATTCTTATTGTACGCCGTCATCACCCCATGGAAAAACTGAGCCATGCTGACATCTCTCCAGGCAGCCAAATACACGAGGGAGCTGCTTCCCAGGAGCCCATCTTTGCTCAAAGGTTTGGGTGAGAGAGACAAAGACAAAGTCCTGATTTTGTTCCCTTTTCCTAGAGCTATGGTGTTGTGAAAACACACCAAATAAAATGCTCTTTTTCTTCCTTTGGCAAGATAAACTTTAAGGAAGTAGTTAGCCTTCTTCCTATAGCAGTTGTTACACTTCAAAACACCCCAGGAATAGTTTTTACTGATTAATGCAATGCTGCAAAATGGCTCTGTATTATTTCTGCAAGGTTCTCTGAACAAGCTGACAAGCTGACTCCTACAATTTGCCCAGGAAGCTGA